CGATGCGGTCACAAGAGATAAACCAGCAAAAACTTGCGCCCCAATATACTCTCCTCCTTGCGTCCTGATAATAGCTCCACATATCGGGGCTCCCGTCAACGTAGCAAAGCTGACAACCGTACACGCCATGCCAATTCTAGTCCCCTGTTCCTTTGGGTCATCAGCTAGACTAAGTAATCCAGCCGGGAAGAGGCTCTGGACGCCGCCTATCGTGATACCGTAGAAGACTGTCCAGGCATACATGCCTGATACAGTATGAACTGCCGCCCAGCAGAATGTTATAACGCCCGTGATAAGCGTGCAAAATAGATAGAGATTTACAGGACCAACTTTGTCTCCAAAGTAGCCCGGGATAACCCGCCCGGGACCACCTGCACCGCCAAGAATAAGGATCAAGTCCAGGGATGAAGGGTATGATAGGCCCAGAATGTCGCGCGAGAAGGTGGCAATGTACTGGTAAGCAAAAAAGGACGACCAGAACGCCTAAATTGTCAGCAGAATTCCCGGGACAATGAAGTTTTACGTACCATGAAAGCGCCAACCACATAGAATGTGTACTCTAGCTTCTTGAAGGTCCCCAAGTTGAACAGTGGCCCTGATGAATGTCGCGGTTGAGCATGCGATTTAAGACATATTCCAGCAAGGATGAGAGTCCCGAGTTGAATAAAGCCAATTGCTCTCAATGTCCACGGCAGCCCTATCCTAGGTAGTAATTGTCTCACCATGCTAGGGAATACAAGACCACCCGTGACACTGCCTGCAGAAATAATTCCAAAGGCTAGAGATCGTTTCTTTTTGAAGTAGCTTCCTGCAATGGTCATACAGGGCGTAAAAAGCAGACCATTACCAAGACCAATACAAATACCCTGAGCCAAGAGGAACTGCCAGTACTGAGTACACAGAGAAGCCATAAATATGCCAAGACAGAGCAAGAAGGACCCAGCGACATATAGGTGGCGAAAGTAACCAGCGTCTGTTAGGCGGCCTGTGAAGAAGCCAAGAAAGAATAGAAAGAAGACTTCCATGGATCCGATCCAAGAAACGTCGTCGGGGGATCGATCCAATAGAGTCATATAGTATGGTTGAAAGACGCCGTAGGAGTTGACCACGCCCCTAGTAACTTAGTCTCAGCCCAATTTTAAGGTATCGGACGGATCTCTATACTCACCAGCTATCCATGATGGCGAGGTGAGCGCTGAGTACTAAAAAGTTAGACATTGGTTATGGTAACATTTCGGGCAGCTTACCAAAAATCCACGGTCCGAAGCCTCTGTCGGAAACATGCTCAACCGGCATGTCCACCACATCTTGCGGCATGGATTCTTCACTAGGGGGTGATTCCTGCTGCTTTTCCAAGTCATGGGCTTTCTTGAGGTCACCTTTGGCCACTATAGGGAGTATATCTTGTGAGCTAGTTCCTTCTCCGTAATCATGTCGCCGATTCGGATGCTTTTCTTCCAGTTCATCCTGATGAGCAGCTGGTGCAGACGTGACACCAGTCATTATGGTCAGTGAGGTGGTCAGATCAACAAAATCTGAAAAGGCAAGCGAAAAGTAAAATATGACCTGGGAGATTCAAGCTCAAAGACTCTGGTGTTTTCGTACTCGGTTATATGAAATCGTTATGGGTGTCTACCGCAGTCATGCCCCAATTCGCACTTAATCCCACCCTGAAGAAGAACTACACGTGCCGAGGTAGTTATTTTGAGAGGCAGCCTAATGATTCGTAGAGTGACTCGTACTTATGCACTCACCGGTGGTTGCGCGGAATTAGCTATACATGCTAGATCCCTGTCTCTTCAAATATGGAGAGATCTGTGTTCCGTAATGCTGGTCTCATGGTGGGTAATCGAGCCAATATGGTCAAGCTGAGGGCTGGTCTGTTGCTTGCATTCATACCGGCTCGGCAGCGCCGAAATCTTCGTTCCGGTGGATGAACGGGGAGTCGTGACGGGTTAATCCAAGGCCAAGTATTTCGATTCAGGGTTAGTCTTGCGGCCAGAGTGACTCTCTTTGTGGTTCGCGATCATGGCCGCTCGAATTGCCGGCACACTTCGGCTCTAAGCGGTGACTGCCATCATCTTTAACGCGACGAGGCAGTCTTAAAGTCGTGATACACAACGAACTCTGCCAGCTTCAGGCCGCAATTTATGGCACTCATTCATCTTTTCGATGCGAAAGAAATCCCAATAACCAATATATTCCATAGAGATTTTGTAATGCTACTTTGCAACCTCCGTGCACCTTTATAACTGTGAAGCATTTCGGCTGCAGTCCCAAGCTCGATTTCTTACCAAAATCATGCTAGGAATACCAAAAGCTTTACACTATCAACTTCTTCCGAGTGTTTCGTCAGGCTTTGCACCAAGAGATACAAACAACATACGGGAGCACTCCGTCTTTCTTAAGTTCCTCCACAGGTGATTCGTTGCCCTTTGCACGGAGACGTCGCCCCTCTTCAGAGACCTAGTCTCCCCAGAATCCAATTCCAACTCCACCTCTCCCTCCAGCACGACGCCATAGTCAAGACTATCAGTTTGATGGAGCGGAGTTTCACCACCTGGCTGCATATCTACAATACGCAGGACGGAACCAGTAGGAATAAAAATTCCTGGGGGGGCGGACAGCATAGATGCATATGCGGCAAGGTCAGATTTGTTTGTAAAATCAGCCGGGAAAGTCTCCGTAGCGTAGCCGAAGTGATTTGCCATGGAGCCAACGACTTCGGTTGGGAGAACTTCGGGGACGCTGGTGTCGAAGACAGCGAGACCGTTGGAATTGTGGTCGGTAATGAAGCGGTTGGGAGTGGGCAAATTGAATGCTGCCTGACCCTGTGATAATGCCATTGTGAAGGTAGCTGACGGATCAAGGTGTAAGTGGAAACTTTGTCTAATAATTGTGGCAACTTTATGTGGTAGACTTGACTTCTCCAGAGATTATGTACAGTCAAATTTTCCACCATTGGCTCTTATAAGCAAATATTTGAACGCATGGATCAAGAAACAGCTGACTGACTCTAATAAAATTCCGTCGGAATTTTGGATTATGACAAATGCAGGTTGTCACAGCATCAAGGAGTGATGGATGGCGCAGTCATCTCCGACCTGGGAAGGCCCAGTTTTTCAAGGGTCAGGGGGACAGATCCTCAAATCCCGATTACTAAGAACAAATCCGGTGGGAAGTTGATCAGCCAGAGCAACTCATGTGGGGGAAATCCCTGAAGTTTAATTATAGAGAAAGCCGGTGGAAAGCTGGTGATGACCCTTCGGAGTACGCCAGCCACATGTCCACTTATACTTGGGAGCGAGGTCCGGGGCAAGCGTAGGAGTGACAGTATAAAGCAGATTACCAAACCCAGATGATCAGCGTATCATTTTCAATATTCTAAATCCCATCACCAATCAATATGGCTTCCGAAGTTGAATTTTCCCTCGCTGCGGCGGATCTGTTCAATGTCAATGGCCTTGTCGCTGTTGTCACAGGGGGGGCAACTGGTATGTGCGGGAAGTACCCAAGACCTTATAAATGACACAAGTAAGCTAAGCTCGACTTGAGACACATAGGAATCGGTCGGATGATGGTCAAGGCACTTGAGCAAAATGGTGCAAAAGTCTATGTTGTCGGGATCGACAAAGATGCCGTAGAGAAGATGGCCAAGGAAGAGGCGGTAAGTTTTCAGAAGAATCACAAAGAAAAGAAACCGACGGGTGAGAGGGAAACCAAGACGGATATCAAGATACTAGAGCATAATTATCGACCATATTGCTAATATTGGTAAATGAGGTAGAAGCATGGAAACATCATCCCCTTACAGGGCGACGTTACCTCAAAGCAGGACCTAGAGCGTATCGTCGCACTTATTACCAAGGAAACAGGCTACATCAATCTCCTTTGCGCCAATGCTGGTATTCCAGGCCCCACCCCTATCAAGATCACACCAGCATCTACACTTGAAGATATCCAAAAGGATCTTTGGAACAGCGACGAGGAACAATTTGATCGCATCTTCAAGGTCCACCTCCGCGGCGTATACCTGAGTTTCGCTGCATTCCTACCGCTGCTCAGTGCTGGCAATGCCAAGGGAAATGTATCTCAAAGCAGCCAGATGATCATCACGGGCTCCATTGGAGCTTTTGGACGCGTGCCGCTCGCCCATTTCGCCTATTCGGCCAGTAAAGCTGGCGTGACACATATGGCGAAGCAATTCGCCACCGCTTTTACTAGATACAATATCAGATTCAACGTTATTGCGCCAGGCCGTGAGTACAATCTATGGGTTACAGCCGAACGATTACGCTAACAGACTCGCAGTGTATCCATCCGAGATGACAAAGGAAATCGTCAAAGCGACTGAGGACCTGAAACGGAACCCGGAAGCCTATGCGAGCCAGGTGTCGCCTCTTGGCAGACATGGCAACGCTCAAGATATTGCAGGCTGCATCCTCTGGCTTGCTTCAAAGGCGGGATCATGGCTTTCGGGTATGGTTGTTGTAACAGATGGAGGTAAACTGTCCATCACTCCCTCAACATATTAGAGCTACTTCAATACCGTACTGGTTTTCCGCTAGTGAAGCATGCATTTCATAGCAAACAGCTAAAGTAAATAAATTTATGTCAAACTGATCTCTTTACAATCCCGAACGATCTGAACTGTCAACGACCAGAAGCGGTTTCATTGTAAAGCTGGGACCGAACGTTCTAAACAGGTGCAAGTCTCTGTCATGCCATGCCTAGTACATCTGCTACACCACATTGCTTGACTTGCCACTCAAAGGGCGAAAGTCTATCCATTCTGTCCTTGAGCACTGAATATATGGTTGCTATCCGATAGCTCGTGTTTTAAATACAATATAGCCAGTAGCTCATATTGCTCTGGAAAGAGGGCTATAACGCAGGATTCTAACTGATGAGTAAATTGACAACATTCCTCTCAATTATCAACTGTGTATATTGGTGAAATTTAATCATTTCCGTTGGAATTGTCTAAATCATAGACTATGTTAGCTGGCCCATGTTGAATCAGCTTCACAATTTAACTCATGGCCTAGAATAGACGTTCCATCGCCGAGGAAGACTGCGCCAATCATGGTACGAATTAGCTCTCCGCATAGGACCAGAAATTCGCAGATTATAATCTCAAGTGTAGGTACGTACCATCTTGAAAGGAAGTCATTGCCTCGTCGAATGAGCCATTCGCTAAGAAAGCAAAGCAATCCCCAAAATCATGAGGGTAGGAGGAGAATGACGGAGGTGAGGATAGGGTTACCGGGCCATGATGACTAGGGCCAGCCCCGAGCTGGTCCCGCGGCATGCTCGTTTGGGGCAAACCATGGCTGGCAGCTGCACCCCTCTCGGGCAACTTGCTTCCTACGCGGTCATGGTTCGGCTCTACCAAAAGCTTGAGTTCCTTCTCCATAATGAGTCTCAGTAGATCCTTGAGGATCGCTGCGCTCTGGGTGAGGACGGGATTCCACGACTGACTCGAGGTAAGGATATCGAGCAGCCGGCTCAGACCTTGTTTTGCCTCCTGGGCTTGATTCGACACGGGACTGAGAAGTGCGAAGACAGCCAGCATAACGCCAGCAGCAAAGCCGTGCATACCGATATGTGCTCCCATTGGTGTATTGTTAGCGAACTCCAGAGCCGCTTTGTGCTTAACAAGGTAAGACATGCGGAGTGCGGACGACCAACATTGGCGCCTTGATGTCAAGATGAAGTCTTCATCTGTTGGCCCGTGGGCTGTCCCGGTTGGTTTGCCCAAGTGTCTGCTAATAACCACAGGTCGGTGTAACAGCAGTTGCATGTTGTCGTAGGAGACTTGAAGTGCTAGAGCCTGGAGGTTCAGAGTCGATAAAGGCGAGTCTTTGGAGTAGCTAAATTGGGTCTCCTCGAATGACTGCAACCTCAGCTTAGGCGGTAGACTCTTCTCCCATTCAAGCAGTTGCTGATGCACACCCTGGACTTGTTGAATTAAATCATTCGTAGCTTGACCCTTGGAGGGCTGCATGCCTCTAGTAAGGGGTGTTGCTATCTGATAAAGCTTGGCTTTATACACTTGATACATCTCCCTATCAACAAGTCTTTGCGCGTCATCATGAGCTTCGTCGTCTTCACCACCACGTTGTGCGTCGTCGCCTTGGTCGTCGGTTGCATTGTAGTGAACATGCATGTCAATGTCCTGGATAGCGGCCGGCCGACCAAAGACTTGCGCTGTGAACCTTGCCTATAGTGAGTATAATCAGGCATCATATTGTATTAGAATGGGGTATGCACCTGTCACTGGTATAAAGAGTCCACCAAGCATGTCTGCGGGCTTGCCTCTCGGTGGAATCGACTTCGCCCCAAGTCGATTCGTTATGCAAGTCCATCATTTGAGCTACTCGCACTGCAGCTCCTATGAATGTGAAGCCCCGTCTTGTTTTACGGTTGAATATGTAGTACGATCCAAGCAGGTTGAACAGCGATACCGAGGACGTGCTTGATTCATCCAATACAATGAGTAGCTTGGTCTCAACAATTCCAATAAGACGATCCTGCATATTGGTCGTGTCAAACTCGAACCCAAAGTGCCGCCACTTCTGCTCGGCTGTGATGTATTGGGCGCCAATGGCGAGGACGACAAGCACCAGCAGTAGAAAAGACGTGTCTTCAGTTCTTGCTCGTCCCGCATCAGTAATGCCTTGCAGCCGCGCGCGCAGAGACGGCTCATGGAAAAAAGACAGGTACCAAGCCACAGACGCCGAGAAGCTTTCGAGCAGGCACTCGACAACAGCAGGAGGCGGAAGCTCTGTCCCGATGAGCTGTTCAACAGGGACCGCCTCCCTGAACATGCGCATTGAATGCTGTGGTGGATGATCCGGCAAGGCATCTAATTGAATGCCTTCGGGTGTTCCCGATGGATTTTGACTGTTCTCGCTGTAAACCTAAACTGACAATGAGTCTCTGAGCTCCGGGTAAGTAATGGGCAAGGGAAACATGCCTGGTCAACCAATCTCAGGGTCGAAGTCCGTTCGCTATATGACACCGAGGTCGCCGTATAGCTGAGGGACGTTGAGCAAGTTTGTGAGGGCACCGCCGTTTCGCGATGCGTCTGAGTTCTTTTGGCATGTTCCGCGCCACTATTTTCAACACGAAAGTTGGCTCGCATCCTCGGCTTCCTATTGCTGTGGGGAGGTTACCGACTGTGAGCATTTTTACAGGGCCTGCCAGGCTTACTTTCGCTCCTCATCTCGGCATTCCATGTTTGAGCGAATGCAGAGATAGCATGGTCGCTGGTTGTCGCACTGGAACTCTGGATTAATTTGGCTTCTCATACAAACTCGGCACGCTCTTACTTTCAGCTTCTGGCGTTTGCATCGCACGCACGCACGTCGCGCCCGGCCAGCTACAAGAAACTGTTCGAGATTGGTCTCTTGGTTCATCGGGCTGTTGTGTCTAAAGTGGATTTTGGTGCCAGTTTATTATGGATTGAATGATGCAGGAAAAGGAAACAAAACATGGGGAAGACAGACTAATCTGAACCAAGCCACCCAGCTTATAATTTGTCATCGCCCCAGAAGTTGCGTGTACGCCCACCATATCACATAAGCGGCTTTTCAGAGACAAGGTGCAAGCCTAGAGAACACCTAGCTAATATTAGACCACCCCGACTCTTCATCTCTCTACTACTAAACCAAACAACTCTATCATTGACGCCGGACGTTGCCTCAATTTAGCTAAAGCTACACTAACTTTCAGCTCTATACGATCTAGCGGTCTGCGGAAGGGCAATTTATTATGAATCAAACGTATATATGCAAGTATCTCGGTCTCCCTTTCACCCACTTCAACACATTCATCCACATACCATATTCGATTCGACAGGGAATCTATATACATGCTGGATTAATCATTCGGACCTATATCGCCTAGCCTCTTATCGGGGAGAAAAGCAGGACCACGTTTGCATGGCACCAGAGGCGGATTATTTTGTTACCTATGCTTTTTCTCGAGTCCGTCGGCAAGTTCGGAATGAAGTGGAACTCATTGTACTTCGCGAAAACACCCTTATTTACGAGAAAAAACTCTCTAAATAATGGCCTCAAGCTCTTAGTCACACCCCTTTCGCATGCTCTATGCTCAAAAATGTTCACATCCACTGTTATTTTGACAGGAGTGAGTATTAATACAATGAGGGTCAATCCTGCCTTAGTGTGGAACTGGTTAGGATGTGGGTAGCTGCTTGCGACAGCATCTTGACTCGCGCAAGTCCTCAGCAATTAATGGCCTGCACGCCAACTTAAAGTACCGCTATTACGGCGCTAGTCCCAGAATCAAAGACAAATATTGTATACAAAATAAGACGTCATACTCCTCCCACTACAAACATGGCTTGAGTCCGTTGCCTCTGTTCTTTACTAGCCAGACGATGTACGAAGAGGCCATGACCTTCCCCAATGCAAACAACCGAGTCATAGTGCTCCCGAATTTTGATCCCAGCAGAGCGATTTTCTCAGGAGGGGACGTGGCATTGTCTCTTCCCCCACGGTGCCACACGGCTCACTGAAGCCAACGACAGGACTGGTACAGAAGAGTTAACAGTGACTCTAACTTATTTGCCCCAGAACAGCAGTCGAATGCAGGTACTTTGATAGGGGAGAAGACTGCTGGTTAGTTTATATGAAATACGATACAACAAAGCTCTTTCTCTCACGTATCCGAACTACAGTCCCAAAGCTCTTAAGAGAAGTAGAGATCGTTTTTCCCCTCATAAGCCACAGTTCCAGTCTTTCCGAGCTCGATTCTGCTACAAAGAATGACGAAGGGCTACTGAACATCTGGCCTCTGGTGTGCGGAGTTCAAGCCTTCCACTCATTATCCACATATGGACCATAACTGCCGCCATTTACGTTGACTGCCGCTGAAATTTTCTGGAGCAATATGCGCCCCAACTCCTCGAGCCTCTACGAAATGTTAAGCAGTTAGACTGTTTATTCCTATACTTAGAATGGCCGACGCATTGGGCTCCGCCAAAGCTTGTCAACGATATTGAAGGATGCACGATACCCAAAACACGAACCCAAGCTCTGGTATCGGAGACCATTGGGTGCCGGTGTCTAGGAGTAAAGTTGAAGCGAAAGAAAATTGCTTAGAGAAGATGTTTATGGGCAAAAAGTATGATAGTTATTCAACTAGAAAGGGAGATAGGCTACCCAGTCCATGGCTACGGGGTCAATGGGATAGTATCTCTGTGATAACGATATAGATCTATCATCGAGCATTTCCTCAGACCTCCCCGTTTCTATAAGCTCGCCATTTTATGCCGGACTAACGCAGCTTTGCGGGCAGTCTTATCATCTTCGCGCTTAAACCTGCTTCCTGAACCTTTTTAATCTCATCATCCAAATTTTCTAGAAGCATGGCGTAATTCCAAATCGGTTTCCATCCGATGAGTTCCCCTTTCTGGCAGAGCGTAATGGAGCTATACCATGGTCAGTCTCAACCCCATGGCGGCTTGGTAAGGGCAATAATCTTAGTAGAGCAGAAAACATACTTTGAATTCCACCCAATTCTCACGAATTCCAAAGGCATGCCAAAGCTCTTCGCCGCCAGATCCTCGTTTGGCCAGACGTTGACTTCTGCGGTTGAAACGAACCCTTTGGCGTGGAGGCGGCTGGCCAGGCAGTGAAGCAGATCCCACCATGGTAGTTTATGAGCCGAGGCAAAGAAATAACCATCCTGGCCACCCACTGGAGCCTTACCGTGTACTATACTGCGGATTATGCTCCCGTAAAATCGAGCTAAGTCGGTTACATGAATAGCCTGCCATTCCTATAACCACGTGTACTTGGGTCAGAAATATCGATGCAGTGAGAGGGCAACCTAGCGATCTAACTTACGCTATCCTTGGAAAATTTGTAAACGGCCTTGTTTACAATTGATGCCTGGATGTAGACTGAAAGCTGGGAAGAGATGTGATTTGATATTCCGGTGCCTCTGCCATCTGTGAATTTGATCTTAGACGAATGTTGCCATATCTATGGGGCGTTCCAGGAGGAAGATTTTCCACTTACATATGAGAGGGGGGACAACAATGAAGTTTGTGACATTGTTCTCGTATGACAGTTCAAAAATGGTATTGTCTGTCTCCCTAACCACGTATGGCGTCGAAATTTGTTTAACCAGGGCGTGCACTTGGTCAGTATCGGATACCTTACCATGGGGCCAGCCTGCAAGATCAGCGAAGGCACTTGCCCCGGAGGTCTATATACGCAAACTGAATTAGAAGACCGAAATTATGTGAACCATAAAGTAGCAAACTTACGTGTATGAAGTAGGCTGCCTTGCCTGTCTGCTGAATTCTCGTTCCCAGGGCCGACAGGAGCGGCTTGGCCAGAGAAGCGTCAGTGGCACTGGCGCAGTGAACTACGAGGTCAACTGCCAAACACTTGTCAGCCCGATTTCGCCGACTAAGAACTATGGCACTAACTGTCTTTCTCGAGAACAAGTTGAGTGATTGCGTCGGTGTCGCCCAAGTCGACATGGACTGCGGTAATCCCCAACGCGGAGAGTTCGAGAGCTTGCTTGCCGGACCGGACTACCGCAATGATGTTTCGGGGTGGGATGATGCCTTGCTGCTCTGTAATCAGTGTATTGATGAGTGTGCCGCCGCTATGTTAACGTGTTAGCGTACGCTAATCGAGAGTGATCAGAGTTGAGTAGGCACTTGCATATATCCAGCACCACCAGTAATGAGAAGTTTGTAATCCATGATTAAGAAGAGAGCCAAACCATAGAGATTCAAGTTAAGAATCGAGATGAGTTAGAGGTTGATTCCAGCTTTATAGGCGTCTCAGCAACCACGCGCCAAGCGTGTATGTGATTGGTCTTTGCCTCTGAGGTGGAACTCTGGAGTGGATCCGGAAACGCTCGCGTCTCCGGCTCAGCGATGGGCTATGATCAGCGGTGGAGTTTGACTTGACCTTTTTGAGGTTGACCCACACCTCCGTCTTGATTGGGTCAATTTTACATATCGAATTGAATTGCCGAACTTGTCTGTGCCAAGGCTTAGGTAAGCATCATCGATAAGATCATTTCACTCCCTGAACAGCTCGAGAGACCTACCCGGGACCCTCTAACCTCTGCGCCTCCTGAGGACCTAATTCTGAGGAAATATCCTAGAAACAGTAGTTTCCTAGATCAGCAATTTATGAAATCATCAAATTGGGTTAATAACTTGCGAATTTTTCTTTGTTGAATTCCCCTTCGGGGGCTAGATTGAATTGATGAGGAGAACTTGAGTTGGCACGATACATGGCCATGATAATCTCAGGTGGGATCTCCTGCCAGGCGAGACACTATGGAGAACTAAGCGAAACTTAACTAACCACCCAGAGCCATGCAGAAAATCTTTAGGTCATTGTAAGGGGTGACATAGGCCGACCAGCATTTAAGTGTCGCGTAGATGTTTGATGTTGGCAACGGGGATAATGAGATGCTATCAGGATGTCCATGACGGCAAAAATACCTACAGCACTTAATGTCTGACAAAGCAAGCTTTAGGCCTGTTAGGGCTTCCCCCTTGAGTCTCTGACCCACCTCAACCATAAAGCTACGGAGACTAAAACCCCCTCTCCTCTCTTATGATCAGTGGTAGGGTTTTTGGCATTCATTTTCACCTCCAGTAGACAACCAATGTTAAAACCATGGAAGAGGACCGGAGCGGGAATCAGAGTATAACGCGTCCGGTGATTTTGCGGCGCTCGGTACGTGCGCCATTTCGACGATTGATTTCCCCTGTCATTTATAATGGCGCGTGCTGACGTCATATATATAATAGTGTGACCAATGTCGCGTAAGAAAGGTCAGGGTTTTGATTAGACCTTCTCGCACTGATCGCGTCTGGAGCTGATTGCATGCTAGATTGGCTGCGATAGAGCATCGCCTTGTGCGAACTGCTCTAGTGCTAGGCTTGAATGCACACATTCTCCTCATAAGCCTAGAACTGGCGAGGGCCGCCAGAGAGTGCTCATATCAGCGAATTAGTGGGTGCATAGTCTCTTCTCAACCTCGGGAAGGGGGATGTCTTAACACTATTGCCATCGTTTAGTGAAAAAAAGATTGATGAGATTGCCCAGAATGTCGATGGCATAAGGCAGCTACTTCAAGGCCTTGGCATACGTGCAGTTCCGGGAGCTCCGTCGACCCCCAGAATTCTCCAAGGAGTTCTTCACCCTGGCCCCCCCGGCCAGGATTCGAAGGAATCACAACCGTGTGATAATGACGAGGGGGGGTCTCTTTTCCATGCGCAATCCAAGCTCACGGGTCGATTTGTAAGTAAACTGATTGGTTTCGGGCCCTTCTCACAACCTAATGCAAACCGTAACGCGATTATGGAATCGTTACAAGAAATACTCGCTTCAGGTGATGGGAATAATCTCAAGGGTAGCGAAACTACCGACATCACCGTGCCAGGTTTTCCTGACAGCTTGGAGCTACCCCCTCAGGAAGAAGCCGTGATTGTTTTACGCTGGGCAAGAGGTGAGTGGTATTAGTCATTGCACACTGGGCGCAGCTTAGTTCTGAATATCTTCTTATCAGAAAATACTCCGTGCTACATACTATTCTGGCTTGGTCAGGTTCTTGACATTGAGCAATTTGCGGATTCCTGCCAACGGGTCTATTTTCCTATTACCAAATTTAGCCAGCTTGACTTTATCATCGCGAATAGCTTCTTGGCCTGGGTATTCTGCGAGTATGGTCTTGTCTCAGGACAGCATAAGTACTTCGCCTTTGGCAGCCAATGCCAATCGAACGCGTTGAATAGTATCTCTCATCTCCCATTGGTTCTACCACCCTCATCAAAGACGATCGCGAGTCTAGTTCTCGGCGTAAGTAAAGCAACCTCTGAGAATTTAACCTAGCCTTCAGGTACTCATACGGGATTTGTTCAGGCTCAGCATGCCATTGATACCAATCAGCCAACACTTGCGTGGACTCTGAACTCGACGGCCGCAAACATGTGCCAGACACTTGGATATCATCGGAGATCCCGCATGGAAAATTATGGAGAGAAAGCCAAGACAGAAAAGGAGAGGCTCTTCTGGTCAGTGTACAGGCTTGACAAAGCCCTGAGCCTGCGACTCGGTAGGACGCCAGTAGTTGTAGAGTACGACGTTGCTCTCCCGTCAGAACCCACCGTCCGTCGATGGGTTAAATTTGCCGATATCCAAGCTGAAACATACAGCCAGCTTTATAGCTGTGCCGCGTCACGGAAACGAGAAACCGAGCGAATGGAAATGGCGGGCGCGCTGTCTGTAGAATTGCAAATGCTTTTGGATCAGCAGCATAAGTCAAATGTGTGTGGAATCTTGGGTAGCCTCGTTGGGGTCTCACTAATCAAGGCAACAGCCAACAGAAAATTCTGCTCGTCAGGCACAAATCGACCCAAGGAAGAGTGTATACTTGCAAACAGAGTGTATCCTCTATCTTTCTGTTCTCACGCTGATATGCCGCATGGCTCCAGTGACCGAAGGGATCTTCGAATGCATTCCATATCATGCAATCGACGTCGCGCGCATGGCGCTGGAAACTCATAGACGGACCCTGGATGATCTGCGATGCCTTACAAGTGTGCCCTCAGCATTTAGGAGCCACATAAACTGGTAGGTTTACTAAGAAGGATCCTGACGGCTAGGAAAGTTCTAACCAGACCCCAGGACCGTCCATTATGTTCCGTTCTTACCATTCATCGTTGTATTTTGTTCCGTTATACACGACTGCAATGCAGCGGACCTCGCGCGCCTCGAAGACTTCGTCGCATGTTTGAGCGCTGGTGAGGGCCACCCACACTCTCGTGCGTGCCAGTTAATGAAAATCCTATCTGAGCTTGCGAGACTGTACTGTGAAGTGAATTCCTCGGAATCCACGTTTGACCCGGAAACGGGCAGTGAAGAGTTCGACGATTTCCTTGATATGCTGGGAATCGACCGCCATCAGTGGGAGCATCTTCAAGGTGAACTGGGAGAGGATGGTTCAGACCCAACGAATCTATCAATATGAAACGCAGAAAATGGAGGATATACGACTGTACCGTGAAGTGGCTTCTCATTTCATACTCAAGGTCATGCGAAGTGTTAGTTGTGAGCACGCGCGTTTCTCCCACCCACGGTTGTACTCTGCCCCGGAATTCACATCTTCTTAACACTATTGGAACAAGGAGCAGTCTAACACTCGTTTCCTACTCTGCTGCAAGGGTCAGAAGTCCTGGACAAGGGTGCCTGGAGCTTCCCTATCATCCAGCCGGCTACGCGTCCTGACTTCTTTAAAACCTTTGCGATACATTCGCCGATCGCGCTTCAACACCTACTTGAAAAGAAACGCGCAGAGTTTTTTGAAAATGTATTTGAGCTCCTCCAATGCAGTGGATTCCAAAAAGCTTTCCTTCGTTTTTCAAGTCATCCCTGAAGCTTTTCGTTTCTTATATATGCCACCAAGGCGAAGTGTGGTTTTCAACATTGAATTCATGAGAATGTCAGCCCAGGACACTTGATCTGTACATTGAGATTCATTGCCTCCGCTTTACTGCCAAGGCTAAAAGCATTCAAATGGAATGTTGAGTCATTGGCGCTCGCGACTCGTATTACAGCGAATCAGAGCTTCCCCTGACTCGGTATCGCTCTGCATTAGCCCGCATGGCTCTAATGCTTAATATATGAATATCGGATTTGGATGGTTAAGAAATAGACGAATCGCTGGGCTCAAATGGAGAAAAGGGGGCTCATCGCTTGCCATATCCAGCTGGCTCCGAAAGCATGCATCAAAGCTGAAAACAAGACCCCTGTGCTTACGTGGGACTTCTCCCTGTAGAAGTTAGGGCGCACAATTAGCAGCCGCTTTGGTGCTCATAATATGTGATAGGTCCTTTTCGCAGGCAACTTATGGAAAAAGCAAGGCGGCCATGCGCACGTTATCACTTATCAGCTCGATCCTTTGATGATCCTTTGGTCAGGATGCCCAAGTCTCAGGCATCCGTTCCTTGTTTTGTTTTCACGACACGTCGTAGTGCACGCCAGATTTTTCAACCGTCATTGCAAGGTGTTGATCAGTTAGGCTGTATCCAGTGGTCCTGATGGGGCCCGAGAAGCTCTCCGAATGGAGAGAACATCTGCCTTCCCCGTTTGACAAACCTGCTTCCCCTCTTCGGCGTCGCGAGTCTACCGATATGCTGACTACAACAATTAATTCTTTCGATGTGCTTACTCTATCCGACAAGTCGAGCAACCGTAAAAGAAGGCATTCTGGTCCAGATACAGCGGAACAGGCAGATCGGCACGCGAATTGGTTCAGGTTTCTCAATCGTGAACACACAGCGAATGGTCAGGGTAAGATTGAATCGGCCCTGCGGAAGTTGAGACGGTGAGTTAATAAAGAGCAAATTACACATGAGGGAATCTTGAACTAACTGGAATTCAAGACTTAAACATGCGACGAGCACGCGTCCTACGCTTTCCACCCCTGACTCACGAGAAGCCCGAGCGAGCGATACGAAACCAGTCACACGATCAAAAGCCGCGCATGCTGCTCTCGAACACCCTTCGCGAGACGAACTGCTGGCATTAACATACCAATGCTTCCCGCCTATTGAGGATGCAAGAGTCTTCATTACTGAATACTCGACCGAATTTCTCCGTACGAGAGAATACACGTTCGGAGAAGTGTTGGCGTCAGACTTGATTCTCCAACCCGAAAACATCACGCCATGCAATAGATGGATATTCGTCGAATATGATCAATTTGGGACCTTTTGGGGTTCAGATCATAGATTCTCGCAATGGGGCATAATACCTACCCTGTTCGAGAAGTCGCCAGTGGCGATACTCCGAAAACGCCTGGAAGAACTGGATCGCAGAGCTGGCCGGTCTCCCCCGCCGGAGGATCCTTGTAAGTATACTGTCGTAGCCAGCCTCCTGATCAACAAGCTCAAGCCTCCAACCGCGTGAATAGACTACAAACGCATTGGGAAATATTATCGAAAGAGGCCTGGTAGTCCAAACTTTATAGGATTGCGCGTCAACGCATCGGCGTGGATAAATTCGGAGCCCTACAAACTGCTCCTTGATTATTTGGAGCCCCGCCCAGCTCTGAGGAAGAGTCTGCAACGAAGCGAGCACAATTGTTTAGAACAAGGTATTGGATTCATCAACGCTGTTGATTGTATCAGAGAAATGGCATACGATGAGAAGCCTGGTCTTCGCGAATTGCACAAATTGGCCGACATGAACGACGTTTATTCTTACGGGAACTGGGACGATGCGGTGGAGAGGCTCGAGTTTTACGGCGAAAACACCCTGTTAACCTGTGGATGCCCCAGACTCTACAAGACTCTTGCCGACCGTCTACTCCGAGAGGAGGACGTGCTGAGAGAGAACCCCGATATTGCCTTACTGTACTACGCTTTGGTTCGTGTATCGGTCGAGAATGATCAGATGATGCACGATACTCCAGAGAGAGCTCTAAACAAGGTCTTTGTAGGACTCAAAAATACGCGCGATGCTAGTCGACAACACGTTGAACTTCTCTTTAGCCTCCGGCAGGCTGTACTTGACGGGTTAGAATATCTTGAAGAGAACGTGCGCGAGTTCCCTATCTATGGAATCCCACCCTTTGACAATCACCAGGCCCCTTTTCATCCAGACCACACCCCATCACCGAAAATGCGTTCCTTGATCCAGCATGAGATCGATTTAATCGATAAAGACTTTTCGACGATCATTGGACACTGGCGATCCTTGAGAGGCAAGGTGGAACGGCACCTTGATGTGCTTCTACAGCTTCGGGTGCTTGAGCAGCAAGAACTCGCGGTATCGCAAAGTCACCTCGCAACCAAGCAACAAGCCCTCGCGATTGACGAAGCCAGGAGCTCGAGGGTGCAGTCTAGATCGGTCATCATTTTCACTGCGATAACTACCATATTTGTGCCGTTGTCCTTCTTTACATCGTACTTTGGAATGAACGTCACTGACATTGTCGCGACATCTCACTCGTCGGGCTACTTCTGGATGATATCCATACCAGTGACAATCGCCATTCTGGGGGTTATTTTTGCCATTCTCAGGGTCCTGAGATTTGACCAGGGCCCAGAGGGTGACGAGGAGAAAGGGGTAGGGCATTACGGGTGGGCCGAGAGCGGTCCGCCGTGGCGTCTTCGATGGGGGCAAATCAGATCGAAGTTGAAACGGAGCTAATGCCCTCTCCAGTGAGGAGGGAAGATATAGGTGTTTTGCGGTAATCCCAACCTTGGTTGATTGTATGTAAACCTGGCAACTCTAGTAGGGCGTGATTGTTACACTGGAACATTCCTCTTCTTAGAATGAATGCGCAATAGATAGTGGGCAGCTTGTAGAATGCTGTTTGAGATTATTGTGGATCGTCGTTATGCATCAGGGTTCGAGGGTCGATCTAGAGGAGTAGAGCAGGGGGGTTAAGGCGTTTGCTGGGCTGAGCAGGCCAATATGTCACATCAGACCAGTTGTCTACCTACCCTGCCTGCCAGTGCGTGGGGCTGTGCAAAGGGACCATTCTGTATCTCTGCCTCTGCTGCTTGCGGGGTAGGCAGACTTGCAGGTGTCCAGAACTGCTGATAACCCTGTTGAGCGGCTTTTTCCTCTCCTCTTCTGCCCTTCCTAAATTCTTCCTCAATTTATACGGTCGTCAATATGTCATCTCGCATTGAGTCTCGGGCACTGCCAGAAGACTACCTTCATCGTGTCTACGCCGGAGTTCTGGGGAAATTAATCGGCGTATACATCGGGCGGCCTTATGAGGGCTGGACTCATCAGCGCGTCCTCGAAGAATTGGGTCATGTTCGCTACTACATCAACGACCATTTCCATGAGCCTCTTGTCATCACTGACGACGATGTTTCGGGCACTTTTCAATTCATCCGCGCTCTCGAGGAGCATGGCATTTCCGAGAACCTCACGTCGAAGCAAATCGGCCAGACTTGGCTTAACAACGTGATTGAGCACCGGACAATCTTCTGGTGGTCTGGACGTGGCATATCTACGGAGCACACTGCCTTTCTCAACCTCAAGAGTGGAATCCCTGCGCCTCTCAGCGGGTCCATAGACATGAATGGAAAAACAGTGGCTGAACAGATTGGCGCCCAGATCTTCATCGATGGCTGGGCCCTCGTCAGCCCTGGTAATCCGAAGCTCGCAGCAAAGTTCGCCAAGGCTGCAGGTTCTGTCAGCCACGACGGGGAATCAGTCTTTGCAGCACAGCTATGGGCTGCAATGGAGGCTGAGGCCTTCTACACCAAGGATGTTGACCGTCTTCTCGACATAGGGCTCTCCTTGATCCCGCGGGATTCACTCATTGCACGCGTTATTGGCCATGTGCGCCAATGGGTCAAGGAAGATAACGACTGGCTCAAGACACGGCAGCGCATCGAAGACAAGTATGGCTATGATAAATTCCACGGCATATGCCACGTCGTGCCCAACCATGCTGTAATGATCATGGCCATACTCTATGCTGCCCACGATTTTGACGAAGCTATGCATATAATCAATACCTGTGGCTGGGATACCGACTGCAATTCAGGCAATGTGGGGTGTTTAGTGGCAATCATCAACGGAATGTCGTCTTTCAATGGACGAGATTGGAGAGGGCCCATCGCCGACCGTGCCCTGATTTCCTCTGCGGATGGCGGCTATTCCATCAACAATGCAGCCAGAATAGCATTGGACATTGCTAATTTGGGTCGTCAGCTCAAAGGCCTCGAGCCCATGGAGGCACCAAAGGGTGGTGCACAATATCATTTTACTCTCCCTGGAAGTGTTCAGGGATTTCAAGTGCATCGGAATGATGATAGCCAGGGGACAGCTTCTGTTTCTCAGGGTCTCGATGAGCACGGGGATCCTGCATTGGCTATCAAATTGCATCAGCTTGGTTCAGATGTGCCGATCGAAGTATCCACCGAAACTTTTACACCACAAGAGATCAAAATAATGCGTACATATGACCTCATGGCTTCGCCACTTGTTTACCCCGGCCAAACCATCCATTTCAACGTTTCTTCCTCGTCGGATAGTTCTGGAGACGCGCTTGTCGCAGTAAGGCTTCAGGTGTACACCAACAGCGAAGATCTCAGAGCCGTGGACGCCTCCGAACTCCTGCTAAGCCCAGGCAAAACTGCATCTTTGGAGCTACTTATCCCAGACGACATGGAAAGCCAGCCGATACACCGAGTTGGGCTTGCTATTCGGAGTAACTCTGCGACCAACTTTAATGGCAAAATTTGGTTGGAGAGATTATACTGGCAAGGTGCACCGACAATGACGATCAGGAGGCCAAAGAGTCGGGCCTGTGACTTTTGGTATCGCTCTTGGGTAAACGGAGCCGACTCGTTAAACAGAAAGTTGGATCGTTCCCTCTACATCTCGCAGGGTAAGGGCGAGGGCATCATCCTGTATGGTACCCGAGACTGGGACAACTATCGTGTTGTTGTACCAAAATTTACCGTCATCCTCGGCGCTCCCTCTGGAGTGGCAATTCGTGCACAGGGACTAAATCGATATTACTCTCTCGTATTTGTGAAGGGCGACCGTGTATCGATAGTCAAAGCCCTTGATAGTGAGAGGATAACACTCGTCTCTGCTGAGCTGCAATGGAGCTTAGACGACGATTTTCACATTACTATTGAAGCTCAGGGGAACACTATTGTTGCACATGTTGGGGGTATTTCACTGACCGCAACAGATTCTCAGTACAAGAATGGAGCACTGGGACTCATTGCAACAGATGGTTCAATATCTACAGACGAGATTCGTGTTGAGGCTCTTTAATCAGACAGACAAACAGCGCTACCTCAATTACAAACGCGACTTCATGTAGTTATTAGAAACTTCTAGGTTCATTTGTATTACTTGTAATAAGCTGGCGATGATCTGTTGCAATGCATGGCAATCTCGTATGGCAAGGGCGTTCAGCAAGGACAGGGTCTTTCCATTCAAATCGATCTTGTTCGTAACGCCCCTGAGCCCGACTATGTGCTTGAGAGGGCACACGCGTGGTGGTTCTGCCTTGGGAGTGCATCACCCGGCCATAGTAACTAATGGTATTCCCAATACCTTAGTTAGCCGCATCCTTCCGGCCTTTTAAGCCTCTTGACCATTACGCCGCTCGACCCTACACTTTAAATATGACTCCTTCTAGAGTTGTATAGATTAGTTATGACATTCATTATGCCTTGAAAATTCTTTCTGGAGACTAACATGAATAATCGGGGATCAAGGGCCACTAACCATTTCTTCGAATTCTTCCCTGGTCGTTGTTGGAGTGTTATAGGACAGATGAATCCCATAAGGCTGAATCTCCTGCGCGAGTCTATCCATCCGATCCCAGGGATACTCAAGAATCTTCAAGGCTTCATCATCAACGTTGTAGGCACCATCATCAGGGTAATAGAGTATCTTCATGTGACGAAGAGCCGACTTCCGGGCGATAGCGACATGCGCAAATGCTCTGAGCCAATCTTCCTCTGGCTGACGGAAATGACCAAGACACTCACCGTGTTGTTGATCTTCAAGTACCATGTCCCAGCAGAATACCTCACAATTGGGTGCGACAAGATTAGCGATAGAAGAAGAGTCGGTCCCTGTCGTACCATGGCCAAGCGAAAGGGTCTTCAAACTGTGGAAGTCTATGACACCAAAGTCATAGAGACCCTCATCTAAAAGCTCTTGTAACCTAATGCAGGAAAGGAACCTTTTCTGGTGTGATAAGACTCGCTGCATTACTCCAAGGTTGTACGGCGTTAAGGGGTCTTCTCCAGAATAGTGGTCAGACAATGGCATTGAAAAGTCAAATGATGTCAGTTTGGCTGGCCACAGTACAAGTGCTTCGAGGGCTTGCAGCCCTTGGGTGAAGTGTCTCAGCTTCAATACACTGATAGGCGAGGTACCTGCTTGAGCCTGTATAAGAAGTTAGCATCCATCTCTGATATTCCTTTTCTTTTCTTTTTGGTTCTTCTAGACGAGAGGCGAGGAGATGCTCTCTTACACGTAATAATTCCCAGTCGTCATTTGTCCCAATATGAGTGATACCACTCAGGTCGAGGGTCCGGAGAAATGCGTCAGGCTTGAGCCTACTAAGCCCGGTATGAACAGTCGGTAGATCTATCATTGCTTCCTGATAGGTATGGAGCCCCAAATGTCGCAGATGGGGCAAATTGTCCATCGCGGATCTCATCAAATAAAGAAGGTCATCCCTTGTGGGAAACAAGAGAGCTTGAAACTGGCCCTCGTGTACTAAAGACTGTGCCCAGCAATTGATGCGTAGCTCGATGATATTGGTGAGCCAATTGAGGCAGTCGCAAGCAATATACATGAGATTTTGGACTGGTGATTCTCGATCAAATGGTCCTCCGCCGTAACATGATGCACCAAACTCAATCTCTAGTCTGCGGCAGTGCGGCCACAAAGACGTGTTTGTTCGGAACGTGCGATGGAGAAGCCTGGTACGGTGAGCGGTTGCAAGTTTCCATGTATGCACGCCGTTGCACTGAATCTGAATGTTGGCGTAGAGAAGCGGAGTGACAAGACGGTGAAAACGTCGGCAAGTTGAGATCAGCGCTCTCGCCGTAGTAGCATTGCAGGATTTCAAGAAAGGCTTTGAATGGTCGTCTCGCCAAGTGTCGTGTTCGACGTGCACAGATTCTTGCAGCAGAGGGGCCAATAACTCATCGGGTAGTCTTAAGATGGTAGTTGGTGGGCTCCAGATGCGCTCCATGGCTTACACGCTCTGCAAGATCAGTACTCAGAGTCAATAGAAGTGCCACGTGCTGTCGTGGTTATTGGATTGTGTGACTCGTGTAGGAAGAGGGTGATTATTCACCGCTAAAGTTGGAGTTATTCTCAGTTCCATTCCAAGCTCCAACGCACCTACCTACCCTAGAGCCACGCTGCTACAGCGCATTGACCTCTCACCTTGCTGAAATTACTTGCTCTGTTGCGCTCTTGACCTTCTCACTTCCTCAACAACACAACTTTTACTCAGCCTCAACTCGAGCCCTCGTCGACCGAGGCCCGTTGGCGCAGTCACTAAAGAACGTTCACCTGTCGGTCAATATGGATGTGACGAAGAGCGACGAGATGGCTGTTAATGATGGCGCCCAATTCAATCCCGGGCGCCGCTTCATGACCGCCTTCTTCAGTCTGTGCATCCTCGTGGTGGTCAACTCGCTAGATGCCACAGCACTGGGCCCAGCAATTCCCGTACGGCAGTCCAGTCGCCCTGATTATTCTCAATTGATTCGTGTGGCAGTTTTATTGACAGATTTATAGACCATGTCCTACGAGCTGGGCGGATCGGCCGTACAGGCATTCTGGGCTGGCACGTCTTTTCTCCTGGCCGGCACCGTCGCCATGCTCACATTTGGTGGCCTGTCGCAATCGTTCGGTCGCAAAGCGCTCCTCCTCATTTCCATTGGCTTCTTCGCCGTCGGATCCATAATCACGGCCACAGCTGAGGAGTTCACCCGCGTCCTCATCGGACGCAGCATTCAGGGCACGGGCGGCGGAGCCATCATGACAATGGTCGAGATCCTCATCACCGACCTCGTCCCCCTGCGTCACCGTGGCACCTACTTTGGCTACCAGAGCGCAGCCGCCGCCGTGGGAACAGCCGTCGGCCCTCTGCTCGGTGGCGGCTTTACGGACACGATTGGGTGGGAGTGGATCTTTTGGATCAATGTGCCTCTCTGTGTGCTTGGCTTCGTGGCCGTGGCCGTCTTTCTCAAGCTACACAAGGTCCACGGTGAATTCACTACCAAGATGGCCAGGTTTGACTGGCCCGGCGTTATGCTGCTCACGGCGCCCCTGACCGGATTTCTCGTCTCGATTTCGTGGGGAGGCATCCTCTATTCATGGTCATCGTGGCAGTCCATTGTGCCCATGGTGCTCGGCCTCGTCGGGCTCCTAGCCTTCATCGTCTACGAGGCCTACGTCCCCTCGGAGCCGCTGGTTCGCCTACAAATCTTTCACAACCGGACCGCCATGGTGAGTTATCTCGGCACAACTGTCCATGGCATCGTGACGTGGTGCCTCATGTACTATCTGCCCCTCTACTACCAGCTCGTCCTCGACATGAGCGCGACCATGTCGGGCGTTGCAGTGCTCCCAGAGACGCTTCTTGTGCCCGCCGGCTCCATTGTTGTGGGCGTGCTAGTCAGTAAATGGGGCACTTTTCGATGGGCCATCTGGTGCGCGTGGTGCCTCACAGTCCTCGGCTTCGCGCTGCTCTACCTCATGGGACCCGATACAAAGACGTGGCAATGGATCCTCATCAACGTTGTGCCCGGAGTAGGCATCGGCATGCTGTACAGTAGCCTGGCCTACGGCACACTGACGTCGGCGTCGGAAAAGGATGCCGCCTACGCCGCGTCTATGTACATCTTTTCCCGCGCCCTGGGGCAGAGCATTGGCGTCGCGGCTGGTGGTGCCATTCTCCAGGCGCAGCTCGCAAAACAGCTGGCTGCTTACCCCGAGCTTGCCGACCGCGCGTCAAGCCTGGCTAAAGAGGCAAGCTCGCTAGTCGAGTACGTAAAGAGCCTCGAGCACGGGTCTGAGGAGCGAATCATGATTGTGCAAGCATACGCCCAGAGTCTGAGCATCGTCTGGGCCACAATGGCGGGCCTGGCTGGCGCGGCCCTGCTGGCGAGCCTCCTCACCCAGACCCTGGGCGTGGACAGGGCCCAGGAGACGGAGCAAGGGTTCCGCCACGACAAGGAGGACAAGACGCCCGGTAAGGATCAGGTGCCACAGCAGGAGCAAGAGATTGGGACCAAGACGACGGGTGGGACTTGAGGTGTATCACATCCCTCACCGTCGTCTTTCGGCCGTCAACGAGCATGGAAGCTGGCTCATTTCAAGGACTTTTGACCAATTGAGGGCGCCAAGGGCCTTGTCCTCGAAAGACGACTAATAGTAATTTGTGTCGGCTCATTTCTTCCAACCATCCCTATTTGCTGGGGGTTTCAGGAGCCTCGCACCAAAATAAAATAGGAGGAAGCACATCGTTGATCATGAGCTTCTTTCCAACTCCACAGTATAAAGATGCCATTGACTAAGCTGAGTGGCCGAAATCTATAATATTTTGCTGCTTTGGGCTCTGTTGTTTTTCTGTGCTGGACAGGTTGCTCTACGACTCACTTTCAACCTCCCGTCCCTATTCCTCGTCACGCAGCATACATCTCCACAATGCATGTGAGAAAGGCCAACCTCGAGGAGGCTTCTACGATCGCCTGGGTTGGAACGCAAGCTTTTCAGAAGGATCCCAGCTATGGCCACTTTTACCCGTGGAAAGACTACTATCCGGAGGACTTCTTCCTGCACCTCCTTCGCAAATACCAGCGGTTGATGGCCACGCCCGGCTGCTGCATCATCGCCTTAGTGCTCGACAAGGAGGACGAGCAACCAAACAAGCCCACACACAGCGCCGGCTCCATCATTGGATTTGCCACATTCCAGAGGTCTGGGGGCACCCGGGAACAGCGAGATGCGTGGGGCGCGGATACCCCTGAGAAACGTTTGTTGTCCCGGCACGCTTCCCCACCGACTTCCCTAGCTAATTTTGACGACGACGGTATCTGATTGGCACTGACACGAAGAGGAAACAATTTAGGTGTTGTCCGCCATATGTTGGACCTCGCCGAGGCCACGGAGCCGCCGAACCGGGCGGCAAGTCAAGAGGCCCTGGACGACTTTTGGCGACAGGAGCTGATCGGGCACAACTCGACCGAGTTTACGGACAAGATTGACTTTTACACGCTGGCCATGCTGCCCGAGTACCAGCGCAAGGGATGTGCCGGACACCTCTTTGCCTGGCTCTTTGAGGCGTCAGCCAGGGACAATGTGCCCGTGTTTGGTGATGCTAGCGAAAAGGCCATCCGCACCTACTGCGCCGTCGGGGCTGTCATCATAGGCAAGATTGTGCAGGAGGAGACGACGTACGAGCGGACGCTGGCCGGCCGGGTGTTGCCGTCCATCCAAGTTCCACGATTGGAGACGCCCGTGATACGCTGGGACAGGCCTGAGCAAGTTTCCGAGACGCTTGCCGTATACCTTCGTTCTGCACAGCAGGAGAGGGCCAAGTTGTAGCTGCCGACTGGCAACATAATGCTGTGCTACCATATGCGTTATATTGGAGGAGACCAAGGCAGCAGTGGAGTGACTGAAGATGCACTCACTTCACAATTTGTCATGTGTTTTTGTCTCTCGGCTACATGGAATCATGCCAGGGAGGGATGTAGTATTAGGAACACAGTTTGAGCTCGGGAGATAGATTCCAGCGACTATAATAATCCAGTGCGTCCCGCGATGTGCCTCGTCTTTCTTTGCTTACCTACCTGGTACGTTGACGTTGGCTCTTGGTCATACATGGATACGAACCATTTGAACAATCGAAAATCTCGCAAGCAAAGTCGAACGCTTACGCCGCCAATTTTCGCCACACCATGGCCCATATCATTGTACTAGGGTGAGAAGGACCTGAGACATGACTGTATATCGATGCACCGAGTGAAACATTGCTTACCTGTGTACATTTCATGGCTCGCAGCGCTGGCGTGATCGGCCTGCAAACGTCCCTCAGTTTGCTGAAGGAAAAATACCGGGTGACACTCCTCTCCTCCCACTGGCCCGCCTCGGACTCTGACGACGTGTATTACACATCGATGCACTCGGGCGCCCAGTGGCGTTCCAACCCGGCAGCCAAAGACGTCGAAGCGCAGTCGTGGGATCGCGCGACGCTTGAGCACTGGAGGGAGCTGGTCGAGGCGCACTCCCCGCAAGAGATTGGGCTCGAGAGGCTGCCCGCGCGTTTCCTCTGGGACAGCAGGCCGGAGCACGCGCTTGAGCACGAGCACTGGTGGAGCGAGCAAAAGTTGGTGCCTATCCGCGAGATCAACGACCCGCCCGCAGGATTTGCTGCTGGATTCGAGTACGAGACCATCGCAGTTAACCCAATCATCTACTGCCAATATCTGCTCAGGGAAGGCAAGCGTCTAGGCGCTGAGACCAGGACGCTGCGGGTCAGTTCTCTGCAGGAAGCGTTTGACGCGGTGCCTGGGGGCCAAGTCGTCTTCAACTGCACGGGCGTGGCGGCAGGGCCGATGGCTGGGGACAAGGCGTGCTTTCCTACCATGGGCCAGCTCGTCCTGGTTCGCGGTCGGGCAGACAGAATCAGCACGCGTCGTAACATTGACGAACCAGAACCGTGGGAGGCCCTCGTGTTTCCCCGCCCGGGCGAGGATGTGACGGTGCTCGGCGGCTGCAAAATCCCAGACTCGTGGGAGACGGAACCCAGCGACGAAATTACCAGGCGCATCATGGAGAGGTGCCATTCGATGGCACCCGAACTCCTGGACGAGCAGGGGAACTTCACCGTTGTCAAGGCCACGGTCGGACTGCGGCCGTCGAGACACGGTGGGCCGAGAGTGGAGAAGGAGGATCTAGGCAATGACAGGCTCGTTATTCACAACTACGGCCACCATAGCGCTGGCTTTGAAGGGAGCGTGGGCGCCGCCGAGGCAGGAATTTCTCTCCTTCGGAAGCACTTGTCTAGGTAGTCTTTAGTCTCTGTGTACCCGTGTCAGGTTGGAATATCGACCCGCAGTTTCTGCCGCATGTATATATAAATTTGTAAACTATACATGAAGCAGGGGTCAACTATCGTATTCATCAGACAGTGACCAAGTACCTTTGCAAAGTCCTAATTTATCATCTTTACACCTGCTCAACTGGAACTGAAGCACTAAGCCCACCTTTCAGGCTGTAAGATTCCATGCCATGGTGACGCAGAATGCTGCACGCCAGGCGGGATGTCTCCCCGCTGTAGCAGACGACAAGGATTGGCACTGCGTTGCCATCTGACAGATCCTGGACGATGCACTCGATTTCCTTGGCCTGAGCACATAGGACCGACTTTTGATCAAATGGGCTCTCGGTGTTTGACGCTAGACTGTCCAGCGGCTTGTTTATTGAGCCGTAAATATGCAACGAGTTGAAGTCACTGGCGGCGCGGAGATCGACAACGAGGCTGCTGCTGGGAGCAATGTAGCCATTTCTCTCGTCTCTGTCTCGGGTAAGGGTAAACTGTCCCGCGTTGGCCATGGCCGCAGCCTGCTCCAACGTCAGTTCCCACTCGGGGCTGTATGGGCCCTGATCGACAGCCGTCAGCTCCTCATTCTCTATCGAGTGGAAGTCGGCGTCCGCCGTCAGCTTCTCAAAGTATTTGTCCATGTACTGGTACGGCAGATCACAGCACAAAAAGATGCACGATACTTCGCCCGTGGCTGCGTCGGCATGTGACTGCAGCCTGCCGCCAGCCTTTTCGTCTTCGAGAAAGTCGAGGAGACCTTGCAGGGCCATCCCGGAAGAAGGCCCACAGATGAGACCCTCGCGAGACAGCAGCATTGACAGCCTGTACGCCTCGAGGGAGCCAACTTCTCTGACCGCGTCCGTGACTCTCTTCCACGGAAACTCCACCTTCTCAAAGAGGGCCGACGGTCGTGGCCCGGGTATGGCGTCAGCCGTCTTATTGCATATGCTAAAAACAGGCATTAGCTTCCTGCTCGTGTGATCAAGGTGTAGGAGCCATCTACCGACCCAACGACTGTGACGGATGGCTTCTTCTCCTTTAGGTATTTCCCCACGCCTGTAATGCAGCCTGCGATGAAGAAATCTTGTCAACTTGCCTACTTCTCAGGACTTGAGAGCACCGCTTGGACTCACCCGCACTCCCCATTCCAGAACAAAACACGTTCATCTCAGGGAGCTGCGCCATCAGTTGGGGACCCGTCCACCGGACATGGGAATCTGGATTCTGTCAAGGCCTGTTAGTTGTGAATCTTGATTTAGTGGGCAGCATCAATGATGATACTGGAAACACACTCACATCCCTATTCTCATACTGGCCGGGATTCCACGTGTCGTCGTTCTGTTGACTCCAGTGCTTCAGTCGCTGGATCTCGCCGCGCGGATCTAGTACTTCGGGCTGCCCTGGTCCTCCGTAGAGATGTCTACTTGCCGCTGTTAGCCGTAATCCACGAAGAGCCCAAGGTGAGGTTACTTGCGGCTTCAGACCAAAGAACTGCAACGTCCGTAGCCTAGATTTCTCCGTCCTGTTGCTAACAAATGCGTGAACATTGCTATTTCCATGTAAGACGCGTGCGCACATAGCTACGGAGATAACGGTCGATCCAGAACTGCACTCGACAATGGCCTTCCCGTCCGCTTTTGCTCCTGCCTGCAGGAGCATATTTAGAGCTGCCACAACTGATGAGTCTGGTATTCTTGGTCGATGTGGAAAATGCGTCCAGCGTACCGGGAAGATTTTTCACATTTTGGCATGGTAGCGCCGTCATCATTTTGGCGTAGATTCTCACCCCATCTTTGCGAAGAGGGTTCAGTCGACCTGGTATCTCGACGAGGGGGAGGGGAGGCGCAAAGTCTGGATCAAAGTAACTTATCATGGACTCTGGCCCTTTGAACACGTTCATATTGCCATGACGCTCCATTCTAAACAAAATCGTAAATGCTGGATATTGGCCAAAGAAGACAAGATTGTGACGAGATGAAAACATTGTATGAGCAGGCCAGGTGACCGAGCTGACATGCTTTTATATTCGGGCCAGCCTGGTCTGACATATAGAACAAGCCTAACATTCTAGGATAAAGTAATTATTTAAATAGTTATTAAAGAACTCTTTAATTTTTTTTTAAATAATCCCTCTTAAAACTTATTTTATTTTATAACTTTAGTAATTTAAGAAAGGTTAATATTACTATTTAAATAATAATTAAAAGAAGTAATTATTTAAGTTTAAATATTAATAATTAATATTAAAATAGTTTATAACTAGAAGATATTATATAAAGCTTAATATCTTTTCTTTTAAAAGCTTTAATAGTTTTTTTTCTTATTAAAATTTACTTTTTAAGCTTATTATTTTTTAAGTTAATAAGTTAATAATAACTTTACTTAAATTACTCTTAAGTATATATTTAAGAATATTCTTTATATTAATATTATCTTAATATTTAAGAGTAAGAGGTTAAAGTAGTAAATATTCCTTCTCTTTAAGGTTAGGTTATTATAGATATTTGCCTTTCTCTAGAAGAATAAATAGAGAATTATACTAAAAAGAGAGAAAAGGAGGTAGAAGGCATTAAGGCTTAATAGAAGGTAGCTTTAATAATAATACTTCGCGCCGAGTGGGAGGTCTTAGTCAAGAGTGGGAATTCAGGAAGCTTCGAGCCACCATTCTGCAGCTTCGTACTTTCACTGCTCTTATGTTCGTGCACCGAGTTGAGCTGCGAATGAATGGACATTCCCAGGGAAGTGAAGAATCGGCGGATCGAAGAAGATGTCGCGTACACCGAATCTAACGTGTGCTTGTAAAAGGCTGGTAGGCAAGACGACGAGGCAACAACGATGACAATGTTGATTTCTGCGATGCTTTATATCTGTTAGTAAAACTGTATCAAGGTTGGGGAATCGCACGTGATAAACTACGTAAAGCAAGCATTGATTGCCTGGGTCCAGAGTACGTCCTCGCTGTGGTAGTTTGTAGGGACGAGAGAGTCCGAGTACAAAGTAAAACACAGCAATGAAGATGCCAGACCCGACATCTCAACAAAACGAATAATGGTTATTGTGGAAAATTCTGCGGGGCGAAACTACAATAATTCGCTTGGCCAAATTAGCAACACACTTGCAGATGCCATAGCAAGCCTTCTCTGCCCATCACTCACCTTTCTTCGAAACTCTTCTGCGGACCTGTAGTGCTTACTATGATTTATAATACCGGGGTATTTACTTTCATATTCAGCAAGCCTAGGAATATCGGGAAGGTTTGGAATATTACAGTGCCAGTCGCAACAACAACAACAACAACAACAACAACAACAACAACAACAACAACAACAACAACAACAACAACAACAACAACAACAACAACAACAACAACAACAACAACAACAACAACAACAGCGCGTCGAACTCTTCCTGCCACCAGTGATTTGTTCTCCCGTTTGATTCTGGCTTTCTGAGCGTCAGTATCCATTTCTCACCAGTCTTTTCCCCCCTATCAACCGTTCTGTTAAACTCAATTAGTGAGAGGTGACCACCGGTCCTGAAAACGTCCTCAATCCACTATCGGATGACGGAATTATAGCGAAATAGCGCTTCTTTTCTGAGCCTCTCTTAGGCCTACGGGGAAAATGCATTCGAAAGAGCCTCATGTGTATAGCACATGGTTGACGGTGATAGGTTGCTATGAAGGGATGGGTGTACTCCTGTATCTGGAAAGCGGAAATGGTGAGAATTGACCCGTTCTGTTGCTCTGATTTCTGCTTGGAACTAGCTGGGAATGGGAAAAGCAGCATCAGCTGCCCCATCAATTAGGTCGCGTACACATGGTATACGAGGAACCAATTCAGCATTTTGCATCCTGTAATGCCAGCACGGTCAGTGACACGATGTGCATACCAATTGTTCACGCGGTTTCTGGTCTCACTAGGTGGCACAATCTTTGATTGTCTTTCAAAGACACGAACGGTATCAAACACTTGCTCTTTGACGACAGCATCTGTTGCAATTGCTCTGGCTGGCTCGCAGCTAATGACTGGTACGCTTTGAATCTTACATATCATTATAGCTTATACGCTAGACTCAGACAAACCACGTACTATGGAACTTGCTGACTGGGATAGGGGTCTATGACCGTTTAGTAAGGACGACTTCAGTTTTTGAAATATTTTATTTGGCGAAATATACTATAACTGGATTGGCCAAGGATCAATTACCAGCCCTCGCCTATCAGGCTCGTCGCAACATAAAATTCATGAGCTCCAATATTATTCGCTTAATTCCTACCACAAAGTAGTTATTCTCCCGGTGATGGTTATCACTGGCTTCATATTACGTATGAATCGAAACAGAATTATCGATCTTCCGGGGGGGCATCGTCCAACATGAATGTGTTATCATAGGCGTTAGTCTAATCTAGCTCTAATCTAACTTACTAGGAATGGGGATCCTGATACGCTTTTCTCATCAATACCGCAGGAAGCGGTGATATATGTTCTTCCCTATCATAGGACTGATAGCTATCCGACAAGAGCCGTTATCGGAGTCGTATGGTCGAGGCCGTCGTGCTAACAGGAATCAAATCTCGTTATTAGAATGCATGTAGAATCCGGTCATATGCCGGCCAAGCTGGCTGCTGACATGTGGATATGATATCAACTGAGGAGCGGTTAGGGGGCCTTGAATCTCCATACTTCGAGCTGGGCAAAATCCGCTGTTATGGTCGCATTAAACCCACCCACTTATAAGAAACAAGGTGGATTTCATCATAGGGTAGTAGTATTTCAAGGATATTTGATAATAAAGTGGTTCGTCTAGATTCCATTCTGCTTATAGTAGGGTTGATAGGCTCGGTCTTCCCCTGTTATGCCCAAGGGTGGAAAATAACAGTTCTTCTCCTCTGGTCTAGGAGCCACAATGTTCGAAGGCAGGGATAGCGGTGGATTTAATCATCTTCATAAGGTGGTTGCGTGCTTTAATCCTACGCTTACCTTAGATTTGCTAGGCTCCGGGGTCAGCTAGGTTAAATGCAGGGCCCATCCAGACTCATGCACCTAAACCACACTCTAGATACACTCCCACGTGCTACAATTTCAAGCTAACATGTCGTGCTTGAGTCCTTATATGGTATCACTTTACATCATCTGCCAAGAAAGGGTGGCGTCATCAGAACTTTTTGTGAAGGGCCCCCGGTTGTTTACGTTGCACCTAGGGCACGACTTCCCGATATGAGACTGTGCTATTGGAGCAAGTTGAACAAGGAATTAAGCCCAATCGAGTGTTGGCTGTCTCTCGATTTACAGTGTTTTAGGCACATAAGTAACATCAGAACCGTGAAAAAAAAAGTTTAAACCAAGACTAGTGGTAATCAAATTATCAGTACGCAGTATACAAGTAATGATTGTATTATTTCATTTTACGATTTAGAACCTACCGCTATTATATTCCAGATACTCTCTATAGATCTTATCACTATAGCACATGTGCCTATCAATGAGGCAGAAGTTCCGTGGACTGTTCGTCTTGTCTCCCACCATGAACTCGAAGGAGTGAATGAAGTTGGGGACATCATTCTTGTCCCTCAGCTATCGTCAAATCCCGAAGTTCCCTCAACTGCTCGCAATGGAGAACATCACGGTCCATGTATGTAACTCATTTGCAAGTAATTAAGTCTTACCCCGATAACTCATATGCCCTTAACAAGCTATAGTCATGTGTACATTCCCTAAATCTTTGCTAGGCTGTCTTGCCTCAATGAGAAGAATCTTTGCGTTGGAGTCGTTAGCCAGGCGGCCTGCGATGACACAACCTGTTGTCCCCCCTCTGGTTTCTTGGTTAGGGAGAAGGAGAAAGTTCTTTAAAGCTGGTGGTAGGCGCTCACCCGTAGATGATGTCGTCAAAGACTCCACTAACCGGCGTAGTGCTGCCTATTTTTCTAGATGTTTAAAAATAATATTCATTGTGCTGAGATGTCGGATCTGGCATCTTTTATTGCTGTTTTTAACTTTACACTTGAACTCTTTTACCTACTCGTTTGAAAACTATTAAATTTTGTGAAACTGTTAAGTTTAAGGGGTTAATGTTGAGTTTTACTGTCTAGAATTAACCTAGTGCTCTAATCCGGTTGATGAGGAGTGATTAACGAAGAGGCTGAAATGGTGGGAACTATATATAAGGACGAATGAACTATTTTGATTTACCTTACTTTCTTCCATTTTGCTACTAGTCCCGCCCTGCTGGGCACACACCACACCCACCCACAAACCCTTCAGCTTTTTGATTTACGAATTTTCCGGTGGATTAATCAATCGATCAATCTAACACGAGGCGAGGTATATGACACATCCGTAAGAGCCACTTCAAGGACTATGTATATCTTATTTACTAAATTGACCTTTTTTTCAAGGGTAGAAGTCACCCTCATGGGACAAATTTGAGCCCCTCTCTCGTACAATGTGCTGAACATGGCTGAAGCGTATGTAGGACGTATTAATTACTATCTGAAACTACGGAACCCACTCTAGTGATCACGTCAATCGAGGGTAGATCATCCCATCAATGTGCTCACTTATCAGCAATTGCGTGTAGTTTTGCAGCGAATAGATAATATAGCATTATCCACATGAACCCCAGTCAAACTTAGCCGAAATGTTGTTAATACTGGCAGGGATCAAGCCATACCTCCGCTACATATCCGGTCGTTGATTGTTTAATTTAAAACCCGGCCATTCCCGAGAGCCCTTGCAAACACAGTAGAGGGTGTGTATGTAAAACAACACAGTGTTTATCTGCTCCATTCACTAGACCATATCAATCTGAAAGCCACTTTGATCTCAATTTCCACTCTTGCTACCATCTTTCGACGAAATATCAACCTTGAATTCGCGCGGCTTTACAAACCACAAATTCTCCAAGTCCCATTCCTCATCTGTCGTTAGCCGTACCTGTGCCAACCGTCAAGTTAGGAAAAAACAGAAATTGCATGTGGGCGGGTGCAGGGTAGTGTTCTAACCTCAAACTTCTTCAAGAAACTAGGAATCAATTTGTACATCTCAAGAAGAGCAATGTGCTTCCCAAGACATGTCCGCGACCCACCTCCGAAATGCAGCATAGTTGCCTTCATTTCACTGAGCTGGGCACGCGCTTCCGGCGGGGACGATTCACCGAGCAACCAACGCTCGGGCCTGTAGATGTCCGCATCTTCGCCAAATATCTCTTTCCTCCTGTGAAGAACCCATGGGTTGCAACTGACGACTGTTCCACCTGGAATGAGCTCCCCGCAAATTTCTATACCCTCCGGCGGCGTGAGTCTCTCCAGATTAAGACTGATGGCCGGATGGATTCTCAGGGTTTCTTTGATGCAAGCATCGAGATATGGGAGCTTCTGCGAATCACTCCAGGACAAAATCTCAGAGTCTGGGATAAGTCCAGAGTCTATTGCATCCTGCAACTCCTTGAGCATTTTCTGGAAACATTCCGGGTTCCGAAGAAGGTGATAGAAGACAGCAGAAAGACTGATCGCCGTAGTATCAGACCCAGCAAGCGCAATTGACGTTGTCATTGTTAGAATCCTGCTGTCGTCAAAGAACCCTGTCTTGTCTTGTTTCTGCGAATGTAGGAACATAGTCAAAAGATCGCCATGCTGATATATCTCGTCTTTTCCTGCAGCTTTCCTATCTGCAAGCTCCTGGAGGCGTTCCACCATACGAGCTTTGGAGAAGCGGGCAGTACCAGAGGAGTTGTCAATGAACCCATACTTGTTGAGCAATATCAAGATGGGATTTTTAACTAATAACTTATCGAGTAGTGGAATTTGGCCTATCTATGGGTCAAATTAGCACACCATATCACGAATGATTAGGCATCTTTTGAGCCACTTACTGGCGCCATGTACTGAAAAATCTTGTCAAGCCACGCAATGATTCCATCCACATCTTCCTGCTTGTCCAAGAATCCCACTCTTTTGCTATATGTGATTTGGGTGATGACATCAAAGGCAAAGAACTGCAGCCAGAGAATGAAATTGCATGTTAGGCCGGTAGAGGCGTATAATTCCTCCGTTCTATCGAGAAAAACCTTGGTTGTCTCATTGACTCGAGCCTCATACTGGACGATTGAGCTCATGGAAAACGCATTGCTAACGGCCTTGCGAAGTTTGGCATGATAGTCCTGGTCCTGAGTGCCAAAAAGCGATTGTAATACCTGGCCCTTTGAAATTTGCATTTGCACGGGGTAAAAGTCGCTCTGTAGGTAGCAGTGAGCACATTTGAATTTAATCATATCCAGCCGGGATATCTTCTCATTCTTACCTTGCCGAGCTTCTTAGTTAGGCCATATATGGACTTGATAGCCTGCGGGTGCGCAAAGGAGAGACAGTTGGGCCCGAGCCGCACAATGTCTCCCAGCTCATTATGTAGTTTCAAGTAAGAGTAATGCGCCTTTCTGCGCCAAACAGTATGAAACCTCCACCAATCTGTCAACGAAGCAAGGACGGGCCCGGGGTACTTGTTGAGCCCTTTTGTAAAGTAATTGGTGACCAGCCAGGTGGCTACAGCCAGAGTGAAAGATGGCCAGACGAGGCTGGAAAACGAGGTCGATTGATAGATGGTCGAAAACATGATGTCTGCCGAGCCGTAGTCGAAAACCAGTGAATATTAATACGCTATGGCTGTGTTCCTGTTTATTTCCCCCTGGCCTCCCCTTCCCTTGCCTCCCTTGCCTCCCTCTTAAGTCAAGGCCTAGTATCCGCCCCTGTAGATATCTCGCCTCGGCTCTGTAGGAAATGGGGAGAGGAACGGGGTTTGGTCTTGGCGTAAGCAACACAATAAGACCCCAACATCACGCAATCTGGAGATGAGCTAGCGAGCACTCTCTGCGGATCTTGGAGCATGAGCATACTATAGAAGTGCCACCCGGTATCGTCTAAATTACTCTATGGCGGGCCTTTGTTGTGAAAGACGTGGTGGGGAAGAAAAGAGGCGTAAGAGGAAATGTAACAGTGCTGCTATTTGCTAGCACAGCCTTGCGTCATGCGTCCCGTCTCTACCAAGACCTGCCGAGAAGGCCAACGTGCACATCTGGATGGATGAGATGTCCGACGGCCGGCGACTGTATTTCTAGAAGCCTGGCTAGGCAAGCGCATGTTACCGACCTTAAGAGTCGAGGAGTCCCCATAAGTTGGTTGTGAGATGAAGGTGGCGATATCCATTTAGAATTAAGAGAACAGAAAGAAACATTCAAAATTATCATTGAAAAAAGAATGCACAGAAACTTGTTTTCCTTCTTGGCTCCATGCGACATATCAAATCGCATGTTCACAACACATTATGAACACGCGGATGCTTGACTTTGGTTTGGGCCAAGTCACTCTTTGCTCACCGAGCAGATCAGACAATCGAAAGCACACAAGTTCTCCATGGGTACTCGGAGAATTGTCTATTGGCAAATAGAAAGGGCCCTATCAAGCGATGCGTCCAGCACGTTAGGTCACGTAGATGAACCGTGGGCTCTTGTCGCCCAGTTCGTTGACTTCTTCCTCAGTCAAACCCTCGGTTTGCGATTCCCTCTTGCCGCTCACCCTTTGCTTATTTTCGTAAATGTAAAACGCCCAAACCATACCAAATGAGATAACCCCAAATGCCCCCATCGCTAGAGAAATTGCATGCCCCTTGGTATAGCGAGGGCCTTCTGCGTTTGGGTAGAGCTAACCGTGTTAGCTCAGGAAACTCACTATGTGTGAGTCAACACTTACAAAACTTGACATGATACCCGCGCTGTTTCCAATAGTTGCTTGCATAGCAATCGTTGTCGTGCGTTTCCCGTATCGAGGAACATTGGTCGGAAGCCATGCCAGAGGCAAACCGACGACGACATACAACCCACACGCCACGAAGAAGCAACCCGCATAGTTCACGGCCACACCGCCATTGGAAAGCAGCATAATGTAACCGCAGACCGAAACTGTGCCCATTGTTACAACCCAGATACCACGCCTTTGGTACCTATCAGACAGGTAGCCCACGCCCAGATACGTCACAGCACCAAGCAGATAGCAAGGGATTGTGAGGACTTGCACAACTGCCGAAGAGAATTGTGCGTTGATGCCCCTTATAATAGTCGGTAGGAATATCGAGAATGCTGGGAGAAATCAGTGATTATTGTTTCTATGCTATAATCTTTTCAGGGCAAACTTACCATAAAGCATAACATCAACACCAAACTGGGCGAAAGAGAAAGTCCAGATCTTCCAGTCAGAGAAGGCTTCACGAACGTCTTTCCAATGGAATTCCTTTGCCGATGCAGTCAAACCTGGCTGTCGGTCTAGGCGAATCTGAACCAGAGCTCGTTCCTCCTCGTTCAGGTAATAGGCCACCGACGGCTCATCGGCGAGAATGAACCAGGCCAAGATACCAAAAACCACTGTAGGGACTCCCTCAAGGATCATGATCCATCTCCAGCCGGAAAATCCCGCTCTGCCTTTACACACATTGTCAGATTTGGGCTCGGCCTGGAACGACTACCAGGGGCAATAACGTACTGTCCAAGAAACCAATGCCGAAGGCAAGCAAACCACCGCAAGCGCCAGCAAGGGCAGAACAAGCAAACAAAACCGCGATGCGTAGCGCAATGTCGCGCCTGGTGTAGAAAAAAGTGAGATAAGTTACAAGTCCCGGCCACAATCCGCCCTCAAAAGCTCCTAGGAGGATACGGCAAGCCAGCATCCCGCCAAAATTTTGAGTAAAGCCAGAAAACGTGGCAACGAGGCCCCAGCTGACGGTGATGAAAGCAATCCACCTTGATGGGCGAATCTTCTTGATGACCCAGTTAGATGGCAGCTCGACACTGATATATGTCGCGAAAAGGATTGAGACTATAATCTGGTACTGATTGCCAACAAGCTTCAGATCCTTCTCAAGTCCATACAGTCTAAGGCCGTTAGTTGAGATGAACCAGCAGATTTCGATAAGTAAACTAAAATGCAGCCACATACCGGGCATTTCCAATGTTCACACTGGTAGATATGTTAGCATGATTAACTTCTAGCTGGATATGGTTTGAGTGCTCACCGATCAAGAAAGCTAAATATATAGATAAGCATCGCAACCCTATTTACAGATGAGCAGACACACAGAGTAGAGATTCGGAGGGCATGCCTACGGCATAATATGCACCTAGGTGTTGTGTTAGTTTTCTAACTCTCGATAGTTTGCTCTACTAAGCAAATTAACTTGGACGCACATCTAATTTCCTAACCAGCCTTTTCTCTGTTGCATGGTCAGTGGCATTTTGGGGGTCATTCTCTGCGTTTTTCTCGCCAGGGAGAACCTTTTCTACCCCTTCCGTGAACTCGAGCTTGTTTGACATGCTGGGTACTGATCTCACTTCGCTCAACTAAGGGGCACGTAGAGCAGAGAAGGCACTCGAGGCTAATACTGAATACCTATGGCCGACCTGGGCTTTGGTATTACGTCTGGTTGAGATGAGGGATAGAAAACAACCAAGTCTGTGCTGTATTCACCATGCAGGCGCAGTGTTTTAAGTTGCAGCATCCTTATTAACGTTCCTTATCCTCGGGTCTAGGGCCCCGATCATCGGGAAATAAGTGAAAACCCAAGGGATAGCCTGCTCATCTCATCATCGAGGCCGGAATGTCGCAACCACATCCCTGGATATTTGAGGAAACCCCTCAAAGCCGGCATTATTTCCGCCAACTTAGTCCGTGTTAGTAGCGAACATCCTTATTAGGATCTGGACACGCCCCTATATGGTGCGCTAGTATAGTGATATATACTCGTCGGTAAACTGGTGTGAAGCTACGCTCACAGCTCGGTTGGTCTCTGTATCTTAACAGCGTGATCTTAGTCCGAGATTATTAAATCAAGCGGGGCCATTCACTTGGCGTGTTAGGTGAAGCGACACAAAAAACTCTCTGCTGAGATCCTTTCTAGTTCAGCATTATTATTGCCACCACATCGAGCCATCAATAGATATTATCCCATCACTAGTCACTACCTCATTGTTTATCGGTTGGGTACAAGATGAAGATATCACTAAGTGAAGCGCAGCAGCTTGCTCACGACGTCCTAGTCAGAACGGGATTTAGCCCAGACAACGCGAGCACTATCGCGACGCATCTCATTGACAGTCAGCTTCGGGGGTATCACTCCGCCGGGTTGGCACGACTGCTTGCCATTCGAGACCGCCTCGGTGGAAAGGCCCCTGTCGATAACATTGAGATCACCAACGAAACCCCAGTCTTGGCCCATCTCGATGGCCATGACACGTTTGGGTATTTGGTGGGAGAAAAGGCTACGGAAATGGCGATTGAAAAAGCCAAACTGCTCGGAATTGCCATTATTGGAGCCAGCAATACCTGGACCACGGGCATGTTAGCTTACTACGCTGAGAAGGCAGCCAAGGAGAACCTGGTCACTATCATCTCGTCCAATTCAACACCATGGGTCGCTGTACAAGGAGGATACAAGGCCATCAACGGAACCAACCCTCTTTGCATCGGATTCCCTTCAAGTGATGTCCCAATCATCCTTGATATCGCAACCTCCCAGATCCTGCACGCCGACATTGTTCTTGCCCAACGCCTAGGCACTGAACTGCCCCCAAACTCGGCGTTTAACGCGCAAGGCGAGCCAACAACTAACCCCTGGGAAGTATTCGAGGGCGCAATAGCTCCATGGGGAGGCTACAAGGGATCTGGCCTCGCTTCTATAGTCCAGCTATTTGGCATTCTGGCCGGCTCACCTGCTTTCCCACCAATGTTAAAGCAGTTTGGTTTCACTATTATTGCAGTGGACCCAAGCAAGTTTAGACCCTTGGAAGACTATAAGATTCAAGTGGACGCTTATCGCCAAGGCATCAAAGAAACTCCAGCAGCTGCTGGGCAGCCGTCGCCTAGATTGCCATTTGAAAAATCCGCTAGATTGAGAAATGAGGCAGTAGAAGTAGGGGAGGTTGAGGTTGATGAGAGAATATATCATGCTCTTTTAGGTATTCTTGTAAAATAGAATAATAATAAACATATAAAGTTATAACTTTTAGCTTAATTTGAATTAAAAGTTAGATTTTATTCTAACTTAATATTTTTTTACTATCTTTGTAATTATTATTAAAAGTGGAAGCCTGTAACATGAGGCACTTGCATTAACACAGACAATCACTTTATCCTGTTGATATTTCATCAACTCCCAGAAGGATTATTACCAATGCCTCAATTTTTTTCATGCCGTGTCTTAGCTTCACAGGGTAAATTGTAGTCCAAGCGGTAAATCTGGCTTCTACATAACCACTTGAGATTTCAGCATGGGATACATATCTATTGACTTAACTACAAAATGTGGCAATGAGCCGCCTCCCACCAAAAAAAATTTCATCTGGTTGTCTTTGCTTTGAGAGAGAATCTAATAGTTCTTAAATTTCAATGAACTTTGGTACGATTAGCTCTTCAATGATGCCCTAATCGTGATCTTGCTAGGAGAACATGATGTGTGGAAATAAGGTGCTTGCATTATAAATACCTATAGTTCAAAGGTAGGAAGCTACAAAATTATCTGGTGTGCCGATTTAAGGGCCTATAAGTCTAGAAATCACCAAAAGACAAATGATTGTTCCGGCAAGGATGATGCGTTTTTCGATGCTAGTTCCACGAGTAAGTCGTGGCCTATCATCCACAGAGTTGGAATAAAAAAAGATGGGTATATGTCTCAGTTCCCAGAAACCTTGAAAAGCGGAACAAACCCAACCTTTTCCATCTATAAGTAGTGGGCAAGACTTGCGTAATCGGAGAATGCGTTTAATTCCGCAATCGGTATTTTTGGAACAATACGTGGTTATTCGATTTGTGGTCGGATTTGAATATAGATTCGAAATCTCAACTGTAGGCATATTTAGCAGAGCAAAGCCAGCTAAATGAGAGCTGACGGTCTTTATTCTGTGTGTGCTGATGAGAATATCATAATCTGGCCGGCTGACCCAGGTTTGCTGAAAGATGCAGGTAGAAGACCTATCCAGAGAGTGTCTATGCCTTATTATGGTATGAGCATCCGAAGAGACCGCTAAGTAAGCAGACAGATGAAGCCATGATAGAAGAAGAGTAAGAGAGAGTTCTGGATTTTGTGGGTTAGTGATCCAGTGTTTATCGTCTTCAGAGTTCTCGTATCTTAAAATTTTAATCAAACGCCTGGTAGATTCTCGAAATTCTCGCATTTGCTTAATACTGATTGGAATTGCGCTCCCCCCTCGCCTGTGGGTTGTTGGTGTATGAGACAGCCTTTCACGACCTAATGGTAATTGTCAAGCATCAAATGGCTTAACGTGGATCTGTTTGTCGCATTGACACTGGCTAGAAGGTTGCCGTCGGAACACTATTCCAGGTGTTTAGTATGGCGTAATCACTACTGTACAAGTGTAGATCCCGGCCCCCGGCCCTAGTAATCGCAAGTGACTAGAACCCTCCCGTTAGGAGACGGGGCTATTGTGCTCGCATCAACATCATCCTGAGTGTTGACTTACTGTCCAGGGATCTCAAGTGACAAGTCCTACAGCATCGTATGAAACTGCTAGAAGTTCAAGGCCAGGTACAGGGATAAAGGCTATATCAAAAGCTTATAGATAACTATAATAGTGATTCCTGTCTTGTACTTTATTATCTTTTACCAATCTCCCTTCTTAACTATTTTAGTTTGACCGTAACTTGCCCAAGTATAACCGTAACTGGAAGGATTATCAAATTATTCATGGAACTTGAGATCCCTTCATATTTATGTGTGGTTCAGAGCCTCCCATATTGCTATAAACGGAGAAAGTCCACTTTAATCTAGGCAGAAACGGTCCAGTAACCTTACTCTGATAATTATACAGCATAGATATTAGAGGTAAATGTTCTTTGTCCCACTCTGAGTCTGGTATGGGGCCTAGATGCATTACGCGTGGGCCAGTAAGAAGCGTTTCAGCAAGTGATCTACCTACTTCTATTTTGAGCTCTCCCAGCTAATCACCACTCCATATACCAAAGTCCAGATGACATTGCGGCCGCTATTGGGACTAGATTGGAGCTGATTTGGACCTTTGGTATGTCCCACGACGACTGCCTAGGGAGTACCCGGTTCACGGTCGCAATGCCTGGTTCACGGTCGAAACATCTGATTAACGGTCCCGGTCCCAAGTTAACGCGCGCCTCTCGGATCGTGCTTATTCAGACCATCATTCACCGACACCAAATGAGTGGAATTGGTGCAGTTAGTTGCCTGCTGCCGACCCACATCTTTAGCTTTGATCAATTGCATATATAAATGTAATAATGATTACATCCTCAACTTACTTACTCTTTTGGTTCATTCTCCAAGCTATCGCTCTAGATGGTTTGCTCAATTGACCAACTTGTCTTCATCTGAAACAGCAGATACGATGTCTTTCGAGCTCCCGCAGGTGCCGGCAGCTCATCAACACTTCATTGAATATCTCTCGCGCAATGATTCGGCCCAGCTCCGAGAAGTTGTGAAGCCGTACAATGAGTACGAGGCCAAACTGCGCGAGGGCTTTGCCCAGCACCGCGAGCACCCGGCCATCCAAGATCCCCTCGTGAACGCAGTGCCAATCTACAATGGCCACGAGGGTGTCCCCAAGATCAAGGTTCGGAACCCAGACGAGGATTCCGAGGCCGGGAGATATATCATGCCCTTGAAGCCCGAGGCCAGACGCCCGCATGGCGCCCCGGCCATGACGCAGTCCCTCGAAGAGTTCAAGAACAACTTCAAGATTTTCTCTGAGCAGTCCCTCGACGACCTGGACTGGTCGAACGTTGTCGCGGCGGGTTCGTCGGTGGTCACGGCAATGCTGCCCGTCTCGGATGAGTACAAGGGCTCGAAGCGCGCGCTACGAGAGTACTATCACGAGAAGCTCGCGCCCTCGAGCGACGTCGACCTCTTCATCTGGGGCCTCGATGAACAGGCCGCTGTTGAAAAGATTGCCAAGATTGAGTCGTGCGTGCGCAACTGCATCCTGGCCGAGACGACGACGATCCGCACCAAGAACGCCATCACCATTGTGAGCCAGTACCCGACGCGTCACATCCAGATCGTCCTACGCCTCTACAAGTCCGTCTCCGAGATCCTGACCGGCTTCGACGTGGACTGCAGCTGCTTCGCGTTTGACGGGACCCAGGTGTACGCTACACCGCGCGGCATCACGAGCTTCTGCTTGCAGACCAACACGATTGACCTGTCGCGACGCAGCCCGAGCTACGAGAGCCGCCTTGCCAAATACGCCCGCCGCGGGTTCGAGATCTTTTACGCCGATTTTGACAGGAAGCGGATTGACCCGACTGTGTATGAACGTTCGTTGGTGCGGACTCTTGGTCTCGCTCGCCTTCTTATCCTCGAGCGGCTTCCCACCGAGTCTGACCGAGAGTCGTACATGAACCAACGACGCAAGGAACGTGGGCGCCCACCTCTTGATAGCTCGCGCAACTCGAGGAACCAGCTGCCTAATAACATCAAAGATCAAGATCCCCAAGATGTTGCCGAGTGGGTCGTCGAGGATGAGGTGTCGAACTACCACACCTTCACTGTACCATACGGACCTCACTATAACGCCAGGAAGATTGAGAAGCTTCTCTACGTCAAGGACATGCTCCTGAACGCAGAATGGAATCACAAGAAGGACAGGACTGTCAGCCTCCACCGCCACCCCTGCTTCATTGGAGACGTCGAATCCATCGTCCACGACTGCTGTGATAGTTGCCCAGAGCCAATATCAGACGAGGAACGAAAGGTTTCCGAGGAAGAGAGCAAGATATATGTCCACGGCGAGATCGAGTTCATGAAAGACGACCCTGGGAGGCAGGCGATTGGGAGTTTCAACCCTTTGACGGCCGACGACTGGACCGACATGGCCTACCTTGGCAATACTCAGGAGCTCTGCACGTACATAACCGCCGGAGACATCGATGGCATCAAGCGGTGGTGTTCTGTCAAGGAGAACGATGTAAACCACCGCGACCACACTGGGAGGATGCCGCTGCACTTGGCAGTCATGTGTGGCCAGTTGGACATTGTCAAGGTGCTCATCGACAACGGCGCACGAATCACCTCTCGTGTCCAAGACGGCTTTACCTCCCTCCACATGGCGGCTTCTATCGGCAGAGCCGACATCATAAAGGTGCTCGCAGAGAAGTCTGAGGAGAACGAAGAGATGGAGGGGCAGAAGGAAGATGCTCGCAAGGAAGAAAGGGCCCGCCAGCAGCCCGAGGGCGCCGATAGCCCGACGAAGGATATCACATCCGAACCAGAGTCTGACGCAGACTCCGACGTGGAAATGATAGATGATTCCGACGCCAACACCGACTCTGACAATTCAGAGTACGCTATGACGGAAGGCTCATACATCAAAGTGAGAAAAGGAGAGGAGGCACTGGAGGACGACCCATATGGCCCCGACTTCTTCGACATTAACGTCCTCGCCTGGGACACGCCAGTGAGCCCGCTGCATGTCGCCATCATTGGCGGCCACCGCGAGGCCATCGAAACACTTGTATCGTCGTTTGGAGCAGACGTCTTGCTCCCAATCAAACACAAGAATAGCAGCCGCGGCTCGGTTAACACCGCAATCCTAAACTTAGTTCTCGCGAGTCAACTCCCCAGCGACCAGTCTGCCGAGATCATTAAGAGTCTTGTCGGGCTGGGCGCCAAGCCCAGTCAGGGCGACATGAACCAGGTGTCTGCCGCGCACGGAGCTGTCATTCTGGAAAACGTTGCAGCGTTGAAGGCCATGGCGGAGAGTGACCTCCCCTCAACCCAAACCGGTCTCAACCACATTGTCAACGTCGGGTACACTTACACACCAAGATACCGGACGGCTCTCGTGACGGCAATCTTCAAGGAAGATGAAGAGCTTGTTTCGGCCTTGCTAGAGCTCGGCGTAAAGCCATCCTTTACATTTGAAGACTTCCGCGAGGCAAGGCTACGGGAAGCCAAGCAAGAACACATGAACTGGAACCACAAGGAACTCATGGCAACCTACAATACCGAGATCAAACAGCCCATCATCCACGCCGCCAGGTCACCCACCCCTGGTATCGTGCTGGCCCTCCTCAATGCCGGGGTGGATGTCAACAGTCTGAACCTCTCCGCCGGCATGCTCCTCAACGAAGAATCCCCTCGGTCCACCCCGAAAACTGTCTTGGACTATGTCAGGGCAGAGATTTCGACGTGCAGGTCCATCAGAGTCGGAAGGAAACCCAAAAAGCCAGAAGTTCGCAAGATGCCCGAGTTGCAGCCAGATGAGAAGTATCTTGAAGGCCTTGCTCCTGGCAGCTACAGACACACAATGGTCTCCCGAGACATTGAGCTTGCCAAACTAGCCGCCACCGCCATCCGGAAGGAATGTGATGAAAACAACATAAGGGATAGTGCAAAGATTGACCCCAAGCAAGAAGAGCTAGAGGAGGCCCGCTTGAAGGAGTTGGAGGAATTGGAGCAGGAGCTGGTGAAGAGAGGCGCGAAGGAGTTTTATGAACTGCATCCGAATCTGAAGAAGAAGGAGGAGGAAAGCCCAAGGGATGATCGACAAGGCTCTGCTGACGGTGATGAGTTCGACATCAAGCAATACCATGTCAGTGAATACTACAACGACAAGCCGCTCGATGGAGAGAAGGAGAAGGCCTACACCAGTTTGTGAGTATAAACGTGGCAGGCAACTCTCGTGATAAAGATACTAACGTCGTGATCAGGTTCGAAGCCGCTTGGAAAGGAGATGTCGATACTATCAAGTCGTTGACACTGCACGAAAGAGACGACGGGGAAGGGGGCAAACTCCCGCCTCTCCTCATCTCTACAACAGATTCATGGGGATTGAACGTGTTCACCATTGCCGTCGCAAAAAACAACCTGACCCTTGCTCAGATGATTCTTGACATTGCAGCAGCCCAATACGTCCCCGAGGGGGCACAGAAAACCCCGAAGCGTCGATTCCGGATTCGTGGAGCTGAAGATGCGACCGATTATGACGACGACGAGGAGCAATACGACGGTAACGATATTCAATTAACCTCAGAGCTGGTTGATGATGATTTCACCATTGAAGACCTCGGCGCGCTGAGTGCATCAGCTGGAACCGAGACTACGCCCGCGGATTTAATTGTAGCGTCCACGCCTGTGTGGGCTGTTCATAAGGCGATCGACGTCAGCGCAAGCGACATCCACCGCGGACAGTCTAAGGTCTGGGAGCCAAGTTTCTATTGGAGGAGATATAGTAGCCCTTCTGTACGTGCCCGATAACTCTTACGGTCAAGAGGAGAATGATGCTAACCCTTGAATAGAGCGCTTTTAGCAGCGTGGTGGATGATTTCTGGCTCACGAGCGACCTCCTCTCCTTCGTTCTCGAATCTCAGAACGTAGATCTCATCAAGTTCATGCTGCGAGTGGCGAAAGAGGCCAAGATTTCTGCTTTTGACGAAGGATTTGGCACATCCGGTCATGACGACTCATGGCATAGTCGGTTGTCAGACAACCTGTACAGGTACATCTCTCAAGGCAAGTGGGATCTGGTCGAGCTGCTCATCACAGAGACTGGCGCGGGGATGCCCATTTCCAAAATATTTGGCAGCATCGCCGTACCCGAGGAGGAGCGTGAGAAGCCCAAATACTACCAAGGCCTCAAAATCCGCGGCACGCACAAGTCGGACTGGGCGGCCGAGGCGGGCGGCGAGCAGCAGCGGACCCAAGCGACGCCGTGGCGTGAGAACACCACGTCGCCATTCATCAACGCCGTCTATGACGGGAGCCGCAGCGTAGTAGACTTCTGGCAGGGAGATGCGTGCGTCAGAATGTACGACACGTTTGGCAGGCGGAACACGCACGCCAAGTCGATCAAACGCATTGAAAAGGAGTACGGGACCTGGAAGAAGGCCGTCACGACCTGGCTCGGCCTCCGAAAGCACCTGACCGTCCACTGCGCGGTGCTCAGGGGCAAGCAATGGGGTGAGCACGGCAAGGCGTTTGAGCGCGTGCAGCACATGCTTGAGTGCGTGCCAAACAGCCTGACCAAGAAGTCAAACGGCGGTATCGACCCTCTCTGGCTCGCCTTTTACTACCACCAGGTTGAGACGGCTAAGTTGCTCATCGATGCCGGCGCCGAGCAGACCACGCGCAACAACGATGGAGAGAACATACTGCACGCCTTGTTGTTCCAGGGTCCGCAGTCAAATACAAAGGAAGAACCGGATAGGAGGCAGAAGGACGTTGACAAGATCGAAGCGCTGCTCAAGCTGGTCGATGCGCGCCTCCTAGCAAATTTGTTTACCGATCGAAGCTCGATCGGTCCAACTGGGCTCACTCCTTTGGCGAGCTATATCAAACGTGGAGGGAGGAGCATCAGGCTGCTCCAGCTGATCCACCGTTACATGCCATCCGAGGCCTACACCATGTTTGACGGCTCGGGGCAGACCCCGGCGCATCATCTCGTCATCGACGGAAATTATCAACGATCACGGGAACTGCTGGAGGAGTTGGCCCGCCTCCATCCTCCGGTGCTAATGCAGGACAATGCAATGGGCCAGCTTCCGATCGAGCTTGCATGGACGCTGTACCTGCGCCGCCAGACAAAGGAGGCACCCAGCATGCATTATCCATACTTTGAGCTCAACGCTGGTCAGACACAGCCTACGAAGGCGGTGCGGGATCGGCCCAGCTTTGTGGGCGAGAACGACTCCACCATTGTCACGTACCGTGTCCTTCGGGCGCTGACGGAGAAGGCCAAGGAGGCCGGTGATGTCTCTCAGAGGCATATGATTAGTGTCAAGGATGCTCGCGAAGTTGCCAGGCGGCTCTCAAGTAGGACTACGGGTGAAGGCTCCAGAACCACAGAATGGGATGAGGTGACGCAATGGCACTAACTTGATTCTTTTGTAACTACTTACCCAGTATTGCTATTATGTGAGCAAATAATAGCTGAAGCAAGGACCGTATTGTGTAAAGTTATCGCCATGTTGGAAATCACTAAAAAGTATATACATCAATGATATCCTCGTACACTGTACCTAAGATGGTGCGAAAGGCGTCACCGAGGCATAAGGCTCCAGTCATGCGGAAGGAAAAGTCTGTAAATGGAATGATTTAAAGCTCTTAATAATAAATATTACTATTTACTTTATAAACTCTAAGTTATTATATTATAGCTTATAAGTAGAATCTTAAAGCTTAATAACCTTTATAATCTCTTTATTATTTAAGTTAATTATATTAATAACTATATTATCTCTAATAAAAGTAATATATTTATTATATATTTTACCTTTAGCTTAAGCTTTAGTATAAATAATATATAATAGCTCTATATATCTCCTAATATTATAAACTTATATAGGAATATAACTATTAAAAGGTTAGCTACTAAGGCGAATAACTTAGAGCTTATAATTAGCATTAGATATATAGATTTAAACAGGCTCCTACTACTATAGCTATATTAGCTTATATCTTCTTATATACTCTAGACACTATAGTGCTCTAGTTATTCCTATTATATAGTTATATATCTATAAGTTTAAATATATAGTTCTAAATTAGTTATTTATTTTATATATATACTAACTAAATTATTTAATCTAAGTATATTATTATTACTTATTTAGAGAGAAAGTAGCTTTTAATAAACTTCTTATTATAAATAAAGGCCTCTTAAATAGGTTATATAGTTATATATAGACCTACCTTAGGATTAAAGTAATAAGAGTATTATACTCTTATTTATTATAAATAAAGGCCTCTATTAAGCTATAGGAAGTTATATATAAAGTAGACTAATAAGCTTTACTTAAGGGACTAATAATATTAACCTATTACTTAACTAGAGTAATAGCTTAATAATAAGATAGTAATAACCTTACTATATATATATATTTATTTCTTAAATAGAAATACTCTCCTAAATAGTTATTAATATAATTACTACTACTAGTATAGGCAAATGTGTGATGATAAGCTTAGGTTCTATTCCTCTATCTATAGTATAAGCGATAAGCGATATAGCTAACTAATTATCTAGGGTAGGTTAGATATTAGTGTTACCTATACCTAATAATTGCCCTACGTGAAAAAGAATATTATCCTAATGTTTTAGCTATCTTAAATATAACCTAATAGATAGATTATTTACCTATTGAAATCCTAGTAATAATAAACCTATAGACTAAGTAGTCTAGCTATATATATAAATTTTCCTCCTATTAATTATTCTACTAAAACCTTTATACCCCTTTTATATTTTATATATTACTATACTATCTCACTAATTAAATAGTAGTTAGGTATCTTTATACTTCTACTAATTAAATAGTAATTATATAGTTAGTCTATCCTTATAATATACTATTAACTAAATAATAGTATTAACTATAGTATTACTTATTAACTTAATAATAGGCTTCCTATCTAATTATAGGTCTTCTTCTTACTTAATAGATATTTAGTATTATAATTTAATAGGTAATTTAGGTAGGCGCTCTATAGTGTGATTGTTTCTTAGCTCTTAGATAATTGTCTAGTCTTAATAGCCTATAATGATTTTGTTGAATTCTTTAAGGATGTTTAGTGTATTATCGTGTATAAGCTTTTAGGCTTATATAATCTCCTCTACTATATCTATTATATATCTATTATATTTATCCGCACTCTTTATTCCCTTCTTTAGTTTATCTACTACTTTAGTTATAATCTTTAAAAGGATGCCTAGTTTCTTATATAAATAGTTAGTTAACTTAATTAATATGTATTTATATAACTTACAGGCGATATATAATATATCTATCTATCTTCCCTCTAGTTTATGATCCTTAGTAGTTTAGACTAATAGTTTAGTAAGATCTTTATCTATTTTAATCTATAGCTTTAAATGTAGAGTATTATAGTATATTCTAAAGTTCTAAAGCTTTATCTTTATTATAGTAGGAAGAACCCTAACTTTATTCTTAGTAAGCTTTTAAACTTTATTATATAGGCTATTATTATTAATATTAACTCTTATTAACTTATTAAATAATCCTATATATTTATTCTTAACTTTATTATATTTATATGTAATAATAATATTAATTATCTTAATGTTCTTTAGGGGCGTTATTATCTAAATAGCGTTATATTAGATATTTAATCTAGCCTAGATAATATTAGTTAGTTCCTAGGAGGGGAGGTAGCTTTATAGGACTTCTTTAAGGTCTTTAATCTTAATTTTATTATATATTTTATTATTATCTAGTTTAATAATTCCTTATAGCTAGATTATTAGTGCTAATATTCTAACTAGGATTAGTCTATTATTAGGTATACTACTATTTATTACTATATAGATCGCTATAGGGAGGTATTTAATTAATTTAATCTATTAATAGTATCTCTTAATAGTATTTATCTTTCTATAGATATAATATAATATTATAAGGTAGAACTAACTAATTAACCTCTTAATTAGGATAATTATATCTTACTTATATAGTCTTATAATTACTTTAACTTCCTTAATAAGTTCACTAAGTTACTTTTAGCCTTTCTACTATTAGTAATTAGTGACCTTATAGACCTCTTAGTCTATTATTACTTATATTAATTAGTTAAATAGTTATAGTGCTTATTCTTAGTTTAATCTATCTCTTAGTCTCTTATTAATGTTTAGGGCATACTTTAGGAGGAAGGCCTTTAGAAATTTATAGATCTTGAATTATCCCTAGACCTCTATTAATTTAAGGCGTTATTATATAGTACGCTTTAGTATTCTGCTGAATATATTATTAAAGTTATATTAGTTAATTAGTAGTAGAGTTATATTAACTCTATTTATCTCTACCTATAGTAGTATAATAGCCTTTAGTAACTTTAGAGTAAGTAGTATTTCCTTTTATAATATAATCATCTAATTATAGGGTCTTAATAATATAGGAAATAATAATTATTTAGGTAGATAAATAATATCTATATTAATAGAAGGGTGAGCTATTATATAAGCGAAAGTGATTATATAAGTGAGTGATGAATAGATATGTGAGTAAGTGATAATAATATTAATATTTTAATATAGAATAATATTTTTAATATAGAAAAGAAGGAAGAGAGCTTCTTTACTTTTCTTTAGGCGAGAAGGAAGATAGTAATATATAAGAGTAGGTTTATATATTAGCTAAGGGTGAAGTGAGTTACCTTAGAGAGAAGGTATTAACTTAACTATCTATTGCCCTATATAGGGGAGTTAAAATCTATTTATTATCCTCCTGTTCTTCTCCTAGGTAGTTATATCTTAATATTAGTCTTTAGGATAGTCTTAACTTGTTTTAACCTTATAATCACTATATTTCTTAGCTACTCTATAGCTAGGTACTTATCTTCCTATTGTTTAATAATTTTTAGGGTTATTAAGATTAACTTACTTCTCTTCTTCTATTTATTATGTTTATTGCTATAACCTTTCTATTTTATTAGGTACTTAATAAATAGCTGCCTTCCTCTTAATTATACTAGCTCTCTATTAATAATCTTCTTAACTTCTTATTAATCTTCTTCTCCCTTAACTTTAATAGGTCTAGGTTCTTTAATATTCCTCTTCTATAGATCTTTATCTACTAGAGCTACTAATAGGTGGATTACTAATATAATTAGATAGATCTTCTATATTAGTAGTAGGTCTAACTTATATACTAATAGGCTAATTTATTTCTTGACCTTAAATAGTCTAGCTCTTTATTATATATATTTATAAGGTAGTTTTCTAGGGATATTAAAACCTTTATATAGCTTTAGATATACTATTTAGTTAACTTCGAAATTAACCAGCTAGTGCTTTCTATTGTATCTTTCTTTTATCTTAGTAGTAGCTATAGAAATAGTATATTATGCTTCTTTAGTGTATAAATGTTTTATTATATTAATAGCATCTTAGTTTAACTATTTATCCTTCTTTAGGATATTTGCCACCCTATTAGGCTTAAAACCTAAGGTGAGTTTATTAAGGCTTTAGCTAATTAATATACTTATTAAGTTATTAAGGTAGAATTAAAGTGCTGGTATGATGTTAGGCTATAGGATATCTGATTGGAAGATATAGAAATATATAGCTATTTCTACTATCTGATTTTTGCGCTCTGTGATACCTTATGTCTAGGAGTAGTAGCTTATACTATTTAATAACTTTATCTTTAGAAGTTTAAATAGTGCTATCTAGAAGTTTAATAGAAATTTAGAATCTCTATTACTTATTATTACTCTTAGTAGTCCTTAATTATATATAAGAAGCATCCTTAGGAAGATTACTACCTAGTGCTTTACTTTATATATTATATATCTAGGGATAAGGATTAATTTCTTTAACTATTTATAGGTTATAGTTATTATAGAGTTAAATATATCTATAATATCTATAAGTTACTAGAATAACCTATTCTAAGCTTCTACTAGTAGCCCTATAATAAAATTAATTACTACTATATAGTATAGCTATACTAGGGTGAATATATATTATAAATAAAGGCCTCTATTAAGCTATAGGAAGTTATATATAAGGTAGATTAATAAGACCTACCTTAGTAATTAGTAATAATAGACTTTACTTTAGTAAAGTAAAGTCTAAGTAAAGACTAAGTAAAGCTTCTACTATATATATATATTTATTTCTTAAATAGAAATACTCTCTTAAATAGTTATTAATATAATTACTACTACCTTTATTAAAACTAACTTCTTAGTACTTATATATTAATAGTAATTTATATAATACTAAGATAACTTAATTACCCTCTTAGAATAATACTTTAATTAATTATAACCCTAACCTACCTTAGGCCCTCTATTTAA